TCGCTTCAAAATGTCTGAACAATTGCTAACATCTTCTACAACAGTTATTTCATCATGAATGACCTTCAAGAACAAGCTCATTTAATATGCAATTAAAATCATCTCAATAATGAGTCCATCCTTTCCATCTTTAGGTAGCACAACATCTTTCATTGAAGAAGGTTCGACAAGTCTTATGTTAAACTTACTGACAAAGTTTGTTATACTATAATGCTTCGGCGGCGAATACATGTAGTTTGAAAGACATAATATAGATTCTTCAGCAAATTCACTTATACTGGATTTTATAACAATGTTCTCACGAGACCAAATACCACCAATTGACAATCTTGTAAGCAATCCTGCTGAACCTTCTACTGTAAACGTCGATGGTAACATTCCACGAAGGTCATCTATTGACATCGTTGAGTCACTGAATTTAAATATTTTCTTAAAGCAATCGTCATTATCTAACCATGCAATAGCTTTGAAGTTTTCATTCGAATATACATCTGCTTCATTAAATGTAAAACCTGACTTCTTTGCAGAGATGACTTTAAAATCTATTGAGTTTGTTTCAAAATTATATGCTATGGTAACTTCTGAAGGTAATGGATGCCCTTCCGCAGTCAGTTGTTCTCTCACTACCGTTTGAAGCTTTGTGTTAAAAACTTTCATGTCATCTCCTGTGTCTAGGTTCACATACACAGCAATGGGAAAACTATCTTGCTTCTTTGTTTCATCATTATACCTCAAAACATTAAAGTTCTTCAATAATATTGTCCTTCCTGCTGGAATACTTCGAACCTGTCTGATTTCAATAGCTTTCTCACCTCCTACATACTCTACCCAGTGTCTTGGATATTCATAAGTATACTGACTTTCTTGAATTTTGGTTGGTTTCATCATAACGTGTTCATAGTATATCTTTATACTCTTGTCAGTTAGACTCGGTGCTATGTTCTGAATATTTCTGACTTGCATTTTTAATGGAGATAAAATGAAGCATTTAATACATGACGTAGATGAAGACATGAATGAAACTACAGACAAACTTAACTCTTCTCTCATTCTTCCTTTCAGCAAAGATTATGAGTTCTGTTCAAATGGTGTTATTTCTATTGTGGAAAGATGGGTTCAGGTAAGACATTTAACCTCATTCGTCATATACTCATAACAGAGCGTTTAGGAAGATCATATTATGACCAAATCATTATATCAGCAACTTCAGACTCTATGGACTCAACAGCGAAAACATTTATGTCAAAAGTTCAAGCCTCTGTCGTTAAAGTTCCAGACAGTGAACTCATTGAATTTCTTCAACGTTACGTTCGACGTAAGAGGAAATATTATGCCATCGTTGAATTTATACAGTCAGGAATGCAAAAGACTTCAGAAGAGATGGAAAGAATTATTGACAAACACCACTTACGTCAATACTCAGGAGTTTACGATATGAAACGACTTACAAACTACATTCTATCAAAACTTTCAAAATACCCCTTCAAAAAGTATCCTTCAAATACTCTGCTCGTTTGCGACGACTTCGCCGGAAAAGGTTTAGTGTCAAAGCCTGACTCACCATTAGCTAACATCATTACTAAAGTCAGACATTACCACTTAACTGTAGCAATACTTATGCAAACATGGCGTTTTTTGCTTTAAACATAAAACGTCTCATAACTGACTTCGTTATCTTTCAAGGTTTCTCACGTTATGATATTGAACTCATTTGGAAACAGTCAGGTATAACATTACCTTTTGAAGAAATTTGGGAAGCATATAAGTCTCTCATCTCTCCTCGTTCATACCTTGAGATTCATATCATGACTAATACCATTAAAGTCAAAAATATTCCATGGGAACGACCAACATTGTTTTAAAGTTTAACCTTCAATTGACTGATGGTAAACAAATTCCATGCATCTCTGTCGCCATTTCTGTTAATATTTTTGCTGTCATTCATATCATCCACTTCCCATCCGTTAGCTTTTGAGGATATGCGTTAGAATAGCTGTTCTTAAATGAAGGCTTTTCACCTTTGAGAGCATAAACTCTATAACTTTCTGCATACTTTATGTTTGAACCTCCTGAGCCATCATTGACATAAATTTTTATAGGCTTCCACCCTTTGTTCATGTTCCTGCTTCTTCCCTTAGCTCTTTTGTTCAGTAGTTCTACATCTTTATACACAGCACCTGTCTCAGTGAATTCAACAATATTTTCATTCGTTAGCTTTACATTCAAACCCTTGTCGAGTATATTGTTCATTTCATACATATAAAAGGTTTTTATTCTATATGAAATGAGAAGCAAATCCATCTTAGCTGGTGCCGTTAATGTTCCAATTGAACCAACATCAAATGTTGACTCACGAACGACAAACAATATTGTCATAAAGAACTATAGTTCAGTGTTTGAAAGAAAAAGAACCAGAACTGAAATCCGTGAATTTAAACTCAGCTTCAAACGCTAACGCTACATCAGATGTTAAGTTAGAGTATCCACCACTGGACCAAATTCTTTCAAGAGAAGCCAACGACAACCCTTACACAAATGTTCAAACAAATCCTTCAGATAACGTAGACCATTACCTTCTTCAGTTATACCAAACAATTTTACTCAAAGACGATAAGAAGCTTTTGACAAATCTTATAAGCAAGAACCAAATAATTCTAACAAAGGAGGACCTTGAAAATGTTATATCACGAATAACAGGGAAACAATGTGTCATTGACTATCTCGACCCTGAAATCGAATGCTGTGGTCAAACGCCACCATTCATGAAAATAGGTAACATCCGCATCATTGAAACACCAGGAACTACAGGAGTTGAGTTTAAGTATAAATATTCGAACGAGTATACAAAACTTTCAACAGAATATAAGCTTTGTTTGAAATATGTTTTAGTAAATTAAAGCAATTTGTAATATCTATCCAAAACTTCTTCAACAGTATCGAACTCATCTTCATAATGCAAACCTAATCTTATTGACTTGGTGCAGTTTTCACTAACACAATATAGCGCTTTGCGCTCGGCGCCTTTGACGCCTTTTTCTGTTCTCTTGACTGACATAACTAACTCATTTGTTTCATCAAACAGCAATAACCAAAGTTCATGACCTAATACATAACATTCATACTTTATATTTTTAGCTCTGAGTTCTCTTGTAAGCTGTTGCATTTAATATTTTCTAAAAAGTCAACTTCAACAGTCATTCGCACTGGTGCCTTCAGTTCTACAGGCTCTCCTTGAAAGTCAACAAGTCTGAATTGCATGTCTTTCAAATTATGAGGACTAATGCGAACCCATTTACCTAAATGAGTTACTATGACAGGAACGTTTGGAATGAACATTGAATTGACTGCATAACAGAAGGATTTATATTCTACTGAACCTTTACTATTAACTCCTGAAATACCTGTGACATTAGCTATTTTTGACTCAACGTATAAACAATTACCATAACATACGTATGGAACAGATTTCATCTCAATCGTTTTGTCAACACTTTTCAAAGGACATGTCATATGGTATGCTCCCAGAAGCAATTGAACTCTATGACTCATTCGTGTTATCTTAAACTCCTTCGCATAACTGAACTTCAAAACTCCTGCAATAAGTTTAACATTCATTAAGTTTTCTTCGTTCTCCTTGTTTATTGTAGTATTTATGAGCGCATTTAACACTCCAGCTAATGTTTCCATCTTATATTCTACATTATTGTGAAATCTTATTTCGTGCTTCTTTCCATCTATTTCAAGCTCCATGAAATCTGTTTCATCTGTTATAACGAATGAAGCGATAGTATTGAAGTCAACAACTCTGAAAGCAAGCGCTTCATTCTGAAGACCTAAGTTTGTTTGTAGCTTTACTGTCCCGTATTCGTTTGGGTCTGTACTTTGCAAATAGAACAACATTTTATTCTCATTAAAATATGAGTATTGCTGCATATGCGTATGAAGCTGACAGAGCTAAACGTTTATATTTTGGTCAATACTCTCTCACACTTACTGACAAATATATTGTTATTTCTGATGGAAATACCGAGAAATACATAACATGGAAGGACTATGAAAAGTTTGACCCTATTTTAACTCCATGCACTATGCCATTCATTGTAAATGGTGAAGTTGTCATGAAGAACGACACAACTGTTTATAGGTCTGTATATGAAGCGTTAGAATATATGTTGAATTATAATCCCGAAAGATTTGACCCAAGCACTACGTCATGTACAATGCCTTTTATTAAGGATGGTGAAATCGTAAGAGTTCCGAATTCAACGGTTTACACAGCTGTTCAAAACAGTTTACAAAACATTTTAGCGAATATCTTTAATTCAGAAACTACAGAAATAAAATTACCATATATAACAGATGCTAAAGAAATTAAATCAAAAACGACAACATTATTTACGTCACTTAATGATTTAATGACTTATATCATTAATATTCCTGCACCAACTACAGCATTTGATCCAAACTCGACGGTTTGCAGTGTACCTTTCATAAAGTCGCAAACGGACTCTTTGAGTCCTGAAGGTCTTTCAGACCGAAGCGACCAGGGCGAAGCCCATGACAGTTCATTAATTGTTTTAAGGGATTCAACAGTTAATGAATCATTAAAGGCGTCATTAATGAAAATCATTGATTTTAATTCATTCACGAATACATATAATTCATTCATTAATGTTTCATATGCTTCTAAAGAAGGTGAGCCAAAAACTATCGATAAAGCGGTGTATGAAATAAAAGCATCAACGACGAAATTGAATTCGTTAACTTTTGACGGTGATAGTTTCGTTAATGACATAACATCGGGGAAAACAATTTTAACGAAAGAATATTTAAAATCTCATGTTAGTGAGTTCGTTGAAATTGAAAAAGAAGGTGGAATTAAGTTCGATCCACTGAATTTCATTTTCAGCTTAGCGAATGCGGGTGTTAGTTTCGCTGAATGGACAACTATACAGAGTGAAATAAATGCAATATGGACGTTTTTGGGGTCAAAAGCGGGAATGGGTGAGCTTGTAAATGCTGCAAGAACATTAGGTGAAACAGGAAATTTTGTAGATGGTTTTAAAAGACTTGTTTCAAATGTTTTAACAAACACAAAGAAATTATTTAGATATACCATACATAACGGACGGATTTTCGAACAGGTAGCAACAAACCCTCCGGTTATGGCTGCGTTGATGATGGTTAGAGATATAAAACCACGTAACGACGGGAACGAAGAACATGAACAACAGAGCCCAACGGGCTCAGAGCCACATAGTGGCGAGGATACTGGTCGGGTTATTCAAGACATTAAAAACGTGTATCCTGAAGTTATTGATTTATTTAGAGGAGTTAATGATTCAATTTCAAAACATTCTATAACCCTCGATGAAGAGAATAAATTAACAGATTATATATTCGTCATTATTGCAGAATTAATGAAGAGAATAAATGAAAAAGGAATTGGTGATATCATTAATGTCAGCGATGTAATGATGAAAAGAAATTTTGACTCATTATTTACAAAACCGAAAACAGAATATAGTCTTTATGACGTAATTACCGAATTAATGAAAAAGATTAATGATAATAAGAGTTCTGGCGGAAGAGTTGAATTAGAAGTGAATGATGTTAATGAGAAATTAGCCGAAAAAGCAGATAAAAACCACGTTCATTATATAACTTCAGACGAACAGATTATAACGGACTACCATGGATATTTAACACGAAGTGATGAAGCGAAGACAAAAAATGTTAATGAAAGAAGATATAAATACATTCGTGCTAAAGGTTATGACATAAGCTGTACTGTACAGTATGACACAGGTAAAGCACCAGAAGCATTTAGTTATAACGATGAAATTTATGCCTCTACTTTCTCTGTTAATGGTGTATTAGTTGAACCAAGATTTATGTTAAGAGTTAAGGCAAAAATAACGTTTGAAGATGCTATTAAAAGTAAAGCTGACAAAGTTGAACTTGACGCAACGAACAAAGTTTTGAAATCTCATAAACACAACATCTCCGATATAAATGAACTTCAAACTTCTTTAGACAGTAAAGCTGACAAGAACCATACACATAAATCCTTCACTACTGTTAGAGCAGACGACATAATATTGAACTTTGACCTTGGTTCAAGTGCACCATTAGAAAATCCAAGTACAAGCGTAAAAGATACTCTTAACAGTTTAGATAACAGTTGCAGGAACATTGAAAGTCATGCCAGAAACTTTGAAGCACATGAACTACCAGCAATGTTAGATAAGAAAGCAGACAAGAACCATACACATAAATCCTTCACAACTGTTGCTATAGAAAGTATTGAAGGAACGGTTGAAGAAACTGGTGGGGATGCATGCATTATATTGTAAACCTCCTAACTTTCCACAAGGTTTAACATCGGATGACGACATAACGACGATGAGAAACATTAGATGTAAAGATGTTTATGTCATGAAGGATGAACATAATATTAAATTCACTGCTCAAGATTTATATGACAAGAAAGCAGACAAGAACCATACACATAAATCCTTCACTACTGTTAGAGCAGACGACATAATATTGAACTTTGACCTTGGTTCAAGTGCACCTTTAGAGAATCCGAGTACAAGCGTAAAAGATACTCTTAACAATTTAGATAAGAGTTGCAGGAATACCGAAGATCATGCCAGAAACTTTGAAGCATATGAACTACCAGCAATGTTAGACAAGAAAGCAGATAAAACTTATGTGGATGCAGAACTAACAAAGAAATTTTCGAAACCAGATACAATGACATTTACAACAGAAATTATAAATGGTGAACCAGCAACTCCATTTGAATTTGTTAGAGGTCTTCAACCAGATACTTTTGAATTTTTCTTGGATAATTCTATTGAACTAACATTACATTATAAAAGTGGAACAAATGCAACATTTCATCCGGGAGATACATTCCAAATGGTATTTAATGACATAAGTTCTTTAGAATATGTTTATAGAGTTATGAGCATATATGATTTAATATATCCTATAGGAGCTGTTTATACGTCTATGAATCCAATAAATCCAAACACTTTATTTGGTGGTAGATGGTATGAAATAGTTGACAGTTTTCCATTCTACACTAATACGCAGTCAATGAAGATGGGAGGTTCAAAGAAAATAGGTATTGAAAACCTTCCTTCACATATGCATAGGTTCAGTGGAAGAACATCTGTGGAAGGAAACCATTCACATTCAATAACAAAAAGAGGTTATACAAATCTTGCAGCGGGTTCGGATAGACAGGGAATGCATAGATATGATATCACAACTGACCCCAAAGATGTTAGCACAGGTATTTTCTGTGGAACTGCAGGAAATCATACACATGTTGTAGCTGGTATTACAGACCCAGCAGGTAATGGAAAAGATTATATGCCTCCTTATATAACAATGCACGCTTGGATACGAGTTGGTTAAAATCTTTAACTTTACATAAATGAGCTTGAAAGAAGTATTCGAACAACATCCATGGAGGTCATTTAAGAAGTTCAATGAAGCTGCAAAGAGTTCGGGATTTACTAACAGAGCTGAAGTGAAAAGGTTCTTTGACAAAAATGTTGTACATCAAACAAAAATAAATCCTTACGACTACTTTTTACCAATTTACTCCAACACTCCTGACGCATACCAATTTGACACTCTCATTCAAAGCAGAAAAGGAGGACATAAACCATTCCTCATCTTCATAAATGTTAACACTCGTAAAGCATATGCGTATATAATGAGAAATAAAGGAACTCATGAAGTGTTAAGAGTTTTACAAAAGTTTGTAGCAGAACATAGCCCAAGTATTTTAACATCAGACCAAGACGGTGCATACCTCAGCAACGAAATCACAGAATTTCTCATTAAGCATAACATAACTCACTACACTACTGAAGACCATAACCATAACATACTCGGTATCATTAACCGCTTCATAAGGACTCTCAGAGATTTAAATCAAGAGCGAGACTTTACCGAAGAAACAATGAAACATTTTCTCGAAGTATATAATTCCTCAACACATTCTACAACAGGACATACACCAAATTCAATGACAAACAACAAGAAGAAAAGTATATACAAAAGAAACGAAGCCAAACACAAAATATCAGAAATTCAACACAATTTACTCTCATTCCTGGTACAAAAGTTCGTGTAGTTCTTGACGACAAACCATTGACAAAGAAACGTTTAAGGTTAAGTCGAAATTATTATATCGTAGACTCTACGCAAGGTAATGGATATCTTATAAAAGCTGCTGACGACTCCATAGCATTTTACCCTCGACATAAATTAGTCGAAAGTAGTAATGGCAAACTTGCTGAAACCATTGACGAAGCAAAGCGAGGAGTGGTTATTGAAATACTTGACTATAACACAAACGATGACACTTATAAAGTAAGATATGAAGGAGGCGTTGAAGATGTTATACCATCTAAGAACTTGAGAGAATCTAAACCAACTCATCTGGGACCATTAGAGCGGGAGTACTGGAAAGATAAAAACATGCCAGAAAGAATAAGAAAATTCTTCTAAACTTTTTCGTTGGATGTAAATCAGACAAAAATATAATTTAGGTGAAGAGGTGAGATTCACCTGTTTTCTCACCTCTTTTTCACCTCTTGAACTTTTTATAACATTCGGTCATAACTTCATCAATTTCATTTAAATCACGATTTAAAAACTCATTGACTTCATCTTCAACCGTGTCATCTTGTAATAAGAATATTTTCTTTAGTTTCATGTCAACATCCCGAACAGCACAAAGGATAAAATCATATTCATTTCTTCCGTTAAACATACTTTTTCTTTCTCGTTCATCGTTAAATAAATTATTGAAAATATAAACAGCGGTGTAAAAGTTATGTACTGTGTTAAATGTTGAAGCTTCACCTATTTTAGATTTTAGGATTCTTTTAGTAAGTAAATTGTTATCGTTCTTTCTCTTTTCCTTATCGTTCATGTCGAATCTGTCGAACCACATATCCTGTATTTCATCGAATTTACGAACTATAGAATCCGTCATTTCCCTGGTTAATGAGGGTAATCATTATTAATTTTTTCATATAATTTGTCCATATGATTTTCATCGACGTTTCCGGAAAGCATTTAATTAAAGCAAAAATATATTATAGGTGAAGAGGTGAGATGTCACCTCTTTTTTCACCTTTCTCACCCCAGTTTTTCACAAGCGTTTTACATGAATTGTACGATGTATATTTGAAATCCTAAACAATTTCGTAGCTTCTATTTCTTCTGTCAGTATGTCAAAAGTTTTAACAATGCCGAAAGTTTCTTTATATTTCTTCTTGACGTCAGATAGAAGGAAATCGTCAGCAGTTGGATAGTTTTTGTTCAGAAATGCTAACATGTCCATTTTATTTTCTGCTGGCTTTTCTGCTTCTTTCTTTAAGTCTGCATAGTCGTTTCGCATTCTTTCTATCTCTTTGACGGAGTAGTTATATTTCCTAATTGCTGCTTTACATTTAGAACATTGCGGATTCATTTTTGCGTTATATTCTGAAACCTTACCTGCTAAAACAACTAAGGCGTCAATGGTTTTCTTTAACTCAAAAGCAGTTGGTCTTATCTGTTCGTTCCATATTTTACCTCTTCTATCTTTATCTCTTATCTGCCATACACATTCAGCAACTAACGAAACAAAGTTATCGTAGGTCTTAAACTCCCCGGATTTATATATGTCAGAAACATTCTTATATACCATGTCGCAATCTTTGTCCATAACCTTATGGTTGCAATGAAATCCTAGAAACTCATAGTTTACCTTTCGAATGAACTTCTTTATTTCTACTGAGTCAGTTGGTTTCACTTCTATTTCATCGAATTCAGGAATAGTTAGTTTTTGATGCTGAATTTCAGGTAGTTTAGGTAAATGGTCAATAATGTCCTGCATTTCATAAAGATACTGTTCATTTGTTTCATCTTTCGCACTACAGTCTAAATTACTTGTTAAAAGTTCTTGCTTTATCTTCTGGATTTTTGTTTCGAAAGTATATGAAGAAGGAATGAAGCTTTTCATCTCTACTAACATAGATGTTGGATTCATGACTAACGAGTTTGGTGAAGTTGTTGTGGACAGAGTCCCGCCGTTCGCGGCTTGAATTGTTGTTGTGCCGATTGTTGAAATCATATCTTTACATACAAAATAAAAAAATAAATAAAAATAAAACTAACGTTATTTTTCTATCTTAAGGAAATTCATGAAAATTCATGAGGGTGAGAAATTAGGTGAAAAAAGAGGTGACATCTCACCTCTTCACCTATAATATATTTTTTGGTCATTTACACTCATTTACGAAGAAGTTATGACAAAGCATTTACGAAGAAGTTATGACAAAGTCACGAGGGTGAAAAAAGAGGTGAGAAAACAGGTGACATCTCACCTCTTCACCTAAATTATATTTTAGGTCAAAGCTTCCACGAGAGAAAAGATTCCTCATTCGCTAAGGATTCCAAAAATGAAAAAATCATTGATTTCGGCTGAGAAAAAACAGCAAAACCCTTCTTCCACGGGAACAAAGAAATAAAGAAGAAATAAAGTAAATTTTTTATTTATTCCCGTGGAAGATAGAGCACTTTTATGACACTTTTTATTCACGACAAACAAGACAAATAAAGAAAATAAGAAAATACGGCGCTGTCGCGGTTCGAACCACAGACCTTGACCCCTCCATAACACCACCTTAGACCACTGTGCTACGTAGCCTGTCGACATAAGATTTTATAAATTGCATATTTGACGTAAATTTATTTCCATCTGGCTTCCCACTGCATAAGATATTCATACGTGTTTGTAAGACATTCATTAAACTTCTTTTCTATTGCATCTAATCTTGCGTTATTTTTTTCAATAACTTGTCTGTATTCTTCATCATCTCCAGCAGTGTTTGGGTCTTCACGTTTAAAATATTCATTGTTAACCAATTTTTTATCTACAAATTTTATTAGTGTTTGATTCACTTCGTTATGATAACGGTCATATTCTTTCAATACGTAAGTGAAGACAAAATGCGTCGTACCTTCAATCTTAAAGCTTAAAGAACTTTCAACACAGTTTTGAGGGTCTGTCAGTGCGTCAATGAGATAGTATTCGAAGTCAGTCAATAATCTTTTTAAAGTCATTTCATACAGGATAAAATTTAATGTTGTGAAGAAATAGTGTTTATCTCAGAAAAAATAAAGTTAGTTTTTATTTTATTTATTTTTTTATCCTGTATGTAAGAACAGTAATGTCAACATTAGAGAACACAACAACTGCTATCGTTCATGAAGCCATAAATGAAGAATACGAATACATACAATATAACAAACAATTGAGACTCATTCGTTCAGTCAAAGATGATATGTATCAAATGCAAAGTATAATGAACGCTCTTCGTTCTACAAAGCAAGCATATCATTGGTTTGAAAACCAACAGGCAAAAGAACTTTTAGAAGAATTTCCTCATATGATTGCTTCCCTCGGAAAACCGAGGGAAGAGATTCCGTACGAAAATCGCAAGAATTTGGCACCTGGTTTGAAAGGTTATTATGTTCATAGACTTTTAGTAAATGCTGTAGCAATGTGGGCTTCACCTCGTTATGCTTGTTATATTTTCATGATGTTAGATGAACTATATAAAGCAGAACGTGGAGAGATGGAAAAGAAACTTCAAGCAAAAGATGAAGTCATTGAATCCAAAGACAAAAGCATACAGAAAAGAATACCACGTTCAGTACCAAAAGGAAAGGAAAAGAGTTATAAGTATATGATTTATACTGAAGAGTTGGAGAAAGAAGAAGATAGAGATATGGTTATGTTGCATTTAGTCAGAAGAAACAACAAAAGCTTTTACGACCTTGCTAAAATATATAAATCTGACAGAAACTGGTTCTATCGTGAAAACTTACCGATTTCAATGACACCGAATGAGCAAATAAAAGAAATTGTCAAAAATACTCTTCCTCAAACACACTATGACATCAAAGGTTGCACAATACTTACCTTCAAAGAAGACTTAACATTACTGAAGGAAAAAATAACAGAATATTTCGATAACTTCAAAGAGGAAGAATGAAGTCACGACAACATTAACGAAGAAGTCACGACAACATTAACGAAGAGAGAATGAGGTGAAAAAACAGGTGATATCTCACCTCTTCACCAAAAATATATTTTTGGTTAAATAGCTTCAGGGTCAATTTCTTCAACCATTTCACTTCCTTCGTCAATGTCAATTGAAGCTTCTTCAACCTTTGGTAAGAACTTTTGTATAACATCTTTGTTCGTTATTGTCTTCAGAGATGAAGGATAATATTTCACAGATGTTTCACCCTTCTTATATTCTTTCTGTTCGGAAAGATTCATAGCAATACTGAAGAAGTCAATGTTGGAGTTCTTTATGACAGTATAGTGTGTATCTTTGACATTCACGAAGAAACCCTTTTGTTTCAAAACTACTGCTAACTCTTGTGAAGTATAACGTTTGCGGTCAATGACGATAGCTAATGGTCTGACATACTGACCAAACTTAGATTCTTTCACAAACTTCTTGTTAAAGATAACATTAACGTTTGAAGCATTATTGAACTCATTCTTGATGGCAGTAGCGAGAGCATTGTATGAAAAGAACTTGCAATCTTGCATGTGTTTCATTAAAATAAAAATATTAAATTATTTTGAAAAATAACTTAAAAAAAATCTAATCTAATTTTTTCAAAAATATTTTTTTTATTTCCTACTAAAGATGTATCGGAAGTTGTCTAAGTTAGAACACTCGGAAATAAAACAACTTCTTACAGAAGCTAATATAGATGTTGCAAAGCATTACGCAACAAACAAAAAAGCACTCGCTGACTTCATTAAAGACTATAATGGTGCAATAAGTTATGATAGAATTCATGAGTTCATAAAGCCGCAACGCGGCGAGGACGAAGTCCATGCAAGAGCATTTCCTTTAAATGACATTGCTATTGACTTATATCATAGACGTTCAGTACCTCATGAAGTAAGAAGAGAGATGTTTGACATAACAAATGCAAACGTTGGTGAAACAAGAAGAGCTGTACCTCATGAAGTAAGAGAGAGATGTTTGACATAACAAATGCAAACGTTGGTGAAACACGAAAGAGAGATGACACACTGAAACAACAGAGAAGAGAGATGTTTAAAAGTGCTATAGAACAAGTTCGCAAAGCTAACGATGTCATTCGTTCCATTGACGACAAACCAAAAGAAGGTGAGAGATGGTTAAAGAAAGATGAAGAGAATAGGAAGAGAAATGTGAAGTCAGGCAATAGACTCATTGACTTTAACATCGAAGCTTTAGATGAACCAAACAGAGACTACTTACACAAACATTTCGGTAAGGTTTTCATGAGACTCTTAGAGAAAATTAAAATAAACTCGCAACAGAGATGGATGGTATGTTATAAACTTGGTGGAAAGTATGAATGTTCTACGTTAAACCTCAATAATATTGGAACATTACTACATCAGCTCTTGAAGGAGAACTTTATATCAGAGATAGAAGCAAATGCTGCAGGTATTGTTGAAATGCACTATGACTTCTTCTTGACAAACATAAAGAATCTTACCGAAATAAAGATGTATGATTTAACAGAATATGAAGGCTTAACGATGTCAGATGTAAAGAAAGGCAAACCAAAAAAGAGACCATATAGAGATGAAAGCACACTGACAAATGACCAGAAAGCCATTTTGGAAGCTCTTAAGCAAACAGGAAACCCAGCACTTATAGAAAGCTTTTGGAAAGATAATGGTGAAAAGAAGTTTTATAAGAAGAGAAGCGGTCAGTTCTGGAAGTATCTTTGCACATTACCTATAAATCTTGAACGCTACCAAATCTTCAATGAACTGAACAAAAGAACTGCAACACTTATGACAGAGGACAATTGTTTCGTTTATGCTTGCATTCAGGCTGGAGTAAATGAAGAAACTATTGACCACATGAGAGAAGTCATTCGTGTTAGAGACTTTCCTCAAAGTAAAGTACAAGAAATTTCCGATTCAACAGGTATAGCATTTAATGTTACCATTGGTTATTTCAATGACTCAAGACATAATGAAATAAAGAGATATATACCAAAAGAATGCGAAACTGTTAGAACTATTGACTTACTTCTTGTTGAAGACCACTACATGCTAAATGAAAGATTACCAATGACAACATACTTCATTCGAAACTATATAGAAATCTTGAAGGAGTGTGGTGGAATGAACATTGAGAAACAGATGAAAATATTACAAAGAAGAAGATAAATATGTAGTTCGCATGGATAGAATACACCGCTATGGGATGTTATGAAAACATTGTGGGAGTGCAAATATTTTGAACCTATTTCTTATGGAGAACTTTTCACATATACGACTGACTTATATAAACAGAACCTTGCACCATTTTAAAGATTTGACATATGCTCCAAAGTATTGTGTACAACTGAAGAAGAAAGCAGAGTCAAAAGAAGTAAATAAAGCTAAATGTAAGTTCATACCTGAGCACGTTTTCTTTGCTGACTTTGAGTGTAGTACGGATGGCTTTCATAAAGCTTTTAACATCTGTTATGACAGTGAAGATGGTTCAGTTAGTGAAAGTATTTGGGGTCAAAACTGTGCAACAGAATTTTTGGAAAGACTTCCTGACAAGAGTTTAATATATTTCCATAACCTCAGTTATGACATAAACTTCATCTTAAGACACATGACAGAAGTGAAAGGAACTCCCATCATTAAAGGTTCACGAACAATGCAAATAACTGGTTTATATAAAGGAAGGGCAATTATTATAAAACTCTTACAGTGTTATAAATAAGAAGCTTAAACTATTTCCTGCTATGTTTAACTTACAAACAGGACCGAAAGAAGTATTTCATATAACTACTACAGCAGTGTTTTGTTAGCAAATGACAACAGAACTGGTGTCATTTCTGAAGCATGTAAGTTTATCCATGATGCAGATACATTTATGAAGAACATAGATTCCATCAAAGTTGCAGAATAGATGAAAACCACTTCGACTTAGAAAAATATAGCACGTTTTACTGCAAACAAGATGTAAGAATTTTAAGAGAAGGTTTTGTAAAGTTCCGCAATGACTTATTGAAAGAGTTTGATTTAAACGTTTATGACTACGTTAGTATTTGTTCTATTGCTAACAAATTGTTTGAGAACAGAGTATACTTCCCGAATGGAAATCTTTATGACCTCTCAAATAAACCAAGAGAATTTATTTCGAGATGCATTCAAGGTGGAAGATGTATGTTGTCAGATAATGAAACAAAAGAGCAAAAAGAAACTCATTGCTGACTTCGACACTGTTTCATTATATCCTTCAGCTATAGCAAGACTTTATACTTTAGAAGGTATTCAAAAGTATTGAAGGAAGAAATGTTAGCACAGAGTATCTCATGAGACATTTATTCGATGATGACCAAAAGGAACCCATTGGTGAAAAGTTTATGTCTGGCTTCTTTGTTCTCATTAAGATAACAGAGATTGGTATACCCAGACACTTTCATTTAATAGTTTGCGACCCTGAACTAAATCCAGAACTTAACGTTCCAAGAAGTTCAAACACTTGCTGTCTCATGTATGTTGACCATATAACATTACAAGACCTCATAAAATATCAATGTGTCAAATGTGAAGTGTTGCAAGGATACTATTACGATGGAAACAGAGATATGAGAATAAGAGATGAAGTAAAGAAGTTGTTTGAGTTAAGGTTAAAGTATAAGAAAGAAGGAAACCCCTTACAAGAAATTATAAAACTCATTCTGAACAGCATTTATGGCAAAACTATTCTATCTCCTATTGAGTCAAAAATAACCATAGTAAATGACAAAGATGCTATAAGATATGCTATAAGAAATTACAACCATATAGTGAAGTTCGAAGGTTTGGATGGTTCAGATAAAACTATTTTCAAGCTAACGAAAAGCATTTGCAGACACTTTAACTTCTGTCCACTTGGTGTTAATATTCTGTCTATGTCAAAACGTATTATGAATGAAGTATTCTGTACTGCTGAAGATATGGGTCTTCAAATCTTTTACCAGGATACCGACAGTATGCACTTATATAATGAAGACATACCAAAGCTTGCAGCAGAGTTTAAGAAGAGATATGGTCGCGAACTTATAGGAAAGAACCTTGGTCAATTTCATAGCGACTTTGCAGAAATAACACCTGGAAAACAAAGTTTAGCTTATAAAAGTATTTTCTGTGGAAAGAAGACCTACATAGACTTACTCACTAACGATTTAAATGAAGTTGCATTTCACTGCAGAATGAAAGGCGTGAAGCAAGATGTTATTGCTTTAACCGCTAATGAAATGTTTCCTGAAGCTATACAATGCTATTACAATGAAGATAAGAACATTCACATACCTGTTGGAACATATGACAAAGACTCTGAGTTCAGTTTAATGAAACTTTACAAAGCACTTTATGATGGTCAAGAGATTGCATTCGACTTATGTAAGTCATGTCAACCTTGCTTTGCTGAAAAGTTCAACTTTCAATAACGACTAAAACAAGCTTTATTCGTAAGTTGAAGTTCTGAGGTCATTTATTTTTGTCAGCAATGAGGTCATGAATGAGGTCATTTATTTTTGTCAGCAATGAGGTCATTCGTGATAAAAATAAAGCTAGCGTAGATTTTACAATACTGCGATGGTAGAGTTTAAGAGTTGTGCTTCAATGTAGAGACAGTCCTTCCCATCTGGAGGCAAGAACACTGGACATTTATGGTCATGAGTGGAGTACATGTCTATCCAAAACTCACGATTGAAGCCAGTTAATTTATAGTATTTAGGGTTAGGAAGTGGTGAAGTTCTTGTATGACCAATGAACTCATTTTCAACGCCTTTGGCTATATTAGAGTAAAGTATTGCTTGCTTTCTATCCCAAATGCCAGTGTTACAATCTTTGAAAATTCATTTTTCCTCGGAAGCATTGCATCATAATTGAAAACATTCTTAAATCATCACTTGGTTCGGAGATTTGAAATCTTATACGTAATGGATTTTCTTTCTTTTTAGCGACTTCATTGAATGGTGAGAATACAATGAATTGACAGTCATGAGTTCCATCTTCATTTTCATTAAATTCATAATGAAAGTCTATAAGTTGTGGCTGACTACCTTCTTCTTTCAGTTGTGCAAGAAACTCACGTAAAGGCTGTAAAGTTTGTACTTCAATGTTAAACTTTTTCTCGAACATTTCATTAAATGAAATCATACATTGCAACAATGTTGTATCGTCTTTAAAGTATTTGTATATGTGAATGTTTTGGGCGCTTAAAGACTGTTCGTCATTTTCTATCTCGACTTGAAGTATAAAGTCAACCTTTCTGAAAGCACGTGTTATATACATATTTGTTATGCCAATATATTTTTCTTCATTTATGTTCACAATCCAGTCTGTTGGAAACTTAAACGTTACTCTGTTCCCCTTTATTTTGACGTCAGGGTTTTCACTACTGAACGCAACAGATAAAGGTATTTGTCTATACATTTAGTTCGGATAAAAATAAGCCATTTACTCTTTCTTTGCTTTTGCTTCCTTTGCTTTTTGTTCTTCCTTTGCTTTTGCTTCTTCTCTAGCTTTTTTCGCCAGCAAACGTGGGTTCTTCTGTCTTCCAGCAGCTAATGCAGCTAGTTGTTTTTCACTAAGTTTTCTCTTTGGTCTCTCTGGCTTTTGTTCTTGTTTTTGTTCCTTCAGTTCGGATAAAATTTGCTCGCGAATTTCTTTCTTCAATGCTTCAACATCTATGACCCCTTGGGTCTTGTCCATATGACTTGTCTGAGTCATTTGACTGTAGATAAAAAACTAAATTAAAACTTTAACCGATGTAAAATGAGCTTGTCAAAATCAGAACGAGAGTCTATTATATTAAATGACGCCAGAGGAATACAACATCCTTTCTATTATGTAAGTCAGAGTAAAGATGGTAAAATATATGTAAGAAAAAGAAAGGTTCCATTAGCGAATACAGAGAGCGACAACATTAAGGTGCATGGCAAGGGCGAAGCCCACGAAGCCCATATAAAACCTTCTGTTCAAACTGAAAAGTCAATAGAACAAGAAGAAAAGAAGCCAGATGTTTTTCAATAACGAACCAAGAGCTTATTGCAAAGTTCGTGAATTTCATTGAAAAGCAAACCGAGTCAAAGAACCCTGACCCGCAGTGAAAGAAGTTGAGACAAAGAGAATGTACAGTTCATTGAAAATGTCAAGAAACAACTTCCACCACGAATGCCAAGAAGAAGAGTGAGAATAATGAAGTAAATAGATATTTTTATCTGAAGTAAATACATGCAGAACGAACAGCTAAACGAATTTACTCCAGCAGAGCATATTCATCAGATTCGCTCATATTTCGATATCATAGACAATGCAGTTCAAATTGGTGACACTAATAGAAAATATTCTGACGCAAAGATTCCATCACAACCTGGAACTGCTAAAGATAACACATGGGTAACATTCAATCTCTCACTCCTGGTGAAAATATGTTGGACCTTTACAATACATTCATTACGTATAAAATGGAAGGTCAATTTATTGTAGATAAAGAAATTGGTTCAGGTTCCAATAAAACAAACCCACCAGGATTTTGGATTGGTTTCGATGACGCTTTCTATGCAGTTGCTGGATATCAAATCCTTGCAAATGGTCGTATCGTATATTCTCAAGACAACGCAAGAGAAAAGCATATATAACTTCAAACTCACAAACTACCGAACAAATAAAGAAAGTAGATGTTTTCTCAAAGACTCGACATGAAGATGTATGGAGTCATTCGGGAACATGCAGAACAGGACAAATTGTTAGTGGTCCAATTACAGCAGGAAAATCATTTGATTTTAAGCTTCGTTTAAGAATTCCTGTTAGAAGATTCCTTCCATTAGAAGCTATTCGATTTATTCCAGCTTTTGCAGGAAACATTCAGCTTAAAGTAAAGTTCAGTAGCGACGCCTTACAATGCACATCTATATCTGTAAATGATATCATTGCTTTCAATCCAACTCTTAAAGTTGCATTTGCTTCAGATTCAAATCCACCGACAAATAAATTTGTTCCATGGAATGAACCATTCACTATGATAACGAAGGCAGTAGAAGCTAGTGGAACAGTTACTATTACAACTGTAAACCAGCAACTATTTCGAACAAAGATGGATTTTAATGAATGTTTCATTCATCCAAAGTCATTCTCTTTAGACCCTAACATTTATACAGAACTTGTAGAACATTATACAAACGAGGCTTTATGTTTTCCTGTTAAAGTTATGGATTGGATTCCTATGGACGGTTCATTCTCAAAGAATACAGATAGTTCAAGTGCAACATTTACAGCAGCTTATACGCCTATTAATGTTAAAAGTATTTGGGCACTATTTAGAAAGAAAGACAACTATTATGTTAATTTTGAGAACCCTAAGTTTAAATATCTTCAGCTTTCCATGGGAGCTTATGGAAATATGCCTGCAGAACCTGAAAAATCATATGGACCTGTATTTTATGAAATGGTTGCGAACGCTTGCAATACAAACAATGATATGATAGGATTTAATGAAGATGTTATGAGGTCATTGGTGGATGATGGTAGTGTGGAACATAAATGGGATAGCTATGACAACACACATTTCTTATGTGGTTTTCCAACAGAAGTGGACTTTTGCTTCCAGCAAGGTCAAACATCTACTGCTCCAATAACATACAAATTGTCTGTTAAAGGACCTATTGAACTAGCAACTGAAAATGTACCAAAGCCACTTATTGGATTTATGAGGGATTGTTGCTTTGCAATACAAGTAAGACAGTCAGGCATACCAATAATAAGACTTGACGACTATAACTTAGCAACTGACGACAGTGAGGAATAAAGGATGAACGTTTATTTTTAAAGCTTATAAATGAGTTCTTCATCAAGCTCTCGTGAACCTTCACCATCTATGAAACAAACTTTACCAAACGATTATGGAGCACCTATTGAATATTTCTTACGAGCTGCACAATGGCAAAGAGCAGTCTCACCAAGGTTAGGTGTTCCACCAGCTCCTGTCAAAAATAGCATTTGGTCAAGTCCTTATATAAGATATGGTCTCCCACTAGGTTTGCTAGCTACAGCAGGAGCAGTTATGATGTTGAAAAGAAATAAAGCAAATGTTGTAAATAATACTGAAGTAGCTGAAGTTAAACAAACTCCAACGCCTTCGTCAAAACCAACGCCTTCAATGACTCCTGAACCTATGGAAGTACAAACTCCTGTTCAAAAGTCAACTCCTAAACCGACTCCAACATTTAAACCAGAACCTACGCCTCAAATAAATCGTAAAACTCCTGCGTTTCCTTACTGAAAAAAATAACGTTATTTTTATTTAATATTAAAATTTTTATTTGATTGAAATGACAAATAAAGTCACTGAAGCAATGAAACAAAAGTTTTTGGTAGAATACATTAAATCAGGAACTATTCCAGAAGGTTTTTACATTCATACTATGAAGGATGGTAGAGTTCAGTTTAGAAAGATAAAGCAACCATTAGATAAAGAAGGAATTTTGAGAAAGATTAAACTTCATGAGGACAACATTGCTAAACTTAGGAAGAAGTTAGAAGAGTTGGAGAAAGGAAGAGAGTTATAAAGCAATGAATTCAACAGGGTGAAAAAACAGGTGAAAAAAGAGGTGAAATCTCACCACTTCACCTAAATTTATTTTTGTGCTATGTTTTCATACGTGTGAGGGTGGTGATATCATTAATTTTAAGTTTATTTTTTATTTTACTGAAAATTTTTATTTTATTTTTAAGTTTATTTTTATATAAATGACGAAAACTATTGAGATAACAAACTACAACGGTCATGAGTTCAAGAATTTGTTCTTCGTTCCTCGTGAAAATACATTCTATCAGATACGAGGGAGAAAGGGTAAAGTTAGTTTGAGCGTTTATGAAGGAATGAAGAATGGAAAGTTTATACAAGCATACGATACAAACGGTAAACGTGTTTCATTAGCTTTGTCAAAACTTACTAACATTTATTTTGACAGTGATTTTGACTCTGACGATTGGAGCGACAGCAGCGATACTGAAGAATATGAACTATTGTGTGAAGCACAGCAATGGGAAGAGTTGCAATACTTTTGTAAATGAGAACGTTTATTTTTTACAGTAGTAAAGTCGTTTGTGAAAACGTTAGTGAGGTGAAGTGGTTGGTGGTTTTGTAAATATTTAAGGTTAAGTTAGTGTTGTCGTTTGTGTTGTAAAATATACGTTAACGGTTTTGTAAAGTGTCAAATTCACAAGTATTGCGTACGGAGGAACGCAGTGCCTCCGTACACGAGACTTGTATACTAACTCCTGTTATGGATGCGTTTCTCTTACATCATTAAATTTGCAACATATTAAAAGTATTAATGAAGATGCCTTTAATGGTTGTGAGAACCTACAAATATTAAATATTGAAAATCTAGAAACTATTGGAAAGAACTCTTTTTCTAATTGCATTAGTCTCACAAATTTGATTTTTCCAAATTTAAGAAATATTGGGGAAGGCGCATTTTCTGGCTGCATTAACATTACCAATGTAAATACACCAAGCTTAAATATTATTGGAAATTTTGCTTTTTATCATTGTACTCGACTAACGGAATTGAACTTTTCGAATCTAACAAGCATTGGAAAAGGAGCATTGCATTCTTGTTCAAATATTGAAAGAATTTATTTAGCAGGAACATTCACAGTTATTTCAGAATCAATGTTTGCACATTGCGTTAAATTAACTAATTCAGTTTTTGAAAATATTGGAATTATTACCGAAATACAGGCGAATGCTTTTTCTGGATGTTCAGATCTCAACCTTAATTGGTATTCATTCTATAGTATCAAAATAATTGGCGATAATGCATTTTCTGGCAACAATGTGATAGCTGATTTACTATTTTCTCCCACATTAGAAGAAATTGGTAATGCAGCATTCCAAAATGTTTATGCTCTTAGAACAGTTCGTCTCCCACCAAAAATGACAAAAATTGGGCAAATAAAGAACCTTGCGCTCTTCTTATAGATCAATATAGGTCTCACATAACATCTCCTGTTGTTGCTAAAGCTTCCAAACTCAATATAGAGCTCATCTACGTTCCAAAGTCTGGTACTGACAAATACCAGCCTCTTGATAGGCGTGTATTCGGAGCTGTGAAGGCAAAGTATGCAATGAAAGTTGCTGATCGCATCTTTGAGAATTCGACTCCTATCTCCAAACCAGAAGCTGCTTCCTGCTTTATCCGAGCATGGAACACAGTCAGTTTAGCCACATTGATAACTGCTTGGCGCATTCCAGGTTCAAACCTAGAAAATTTCGATCAAGAAACTCTAGGAGCGCAAGCAGATGAAAGCGATGATGAAAATTCCTCTAGTGATGGTGAATTTGAGGAGGATGAAGAGCCTTATTCCGATAATGAAGATGATGATGACGATTACCATCAATAAACAAATAATTATGCTTTGTTTAACGATTTTTTGATTTCGAGATTTGATCATTTTTTTAAAAAATCAAATTAGCAAAGCAACATATAAAATAATTAATAGCCTACTATTAAGCATTTTATATCTTCAATGATTGGCTATGCATAAAAAATCTCATAATATGAAAAACAAAAGTGAGTTATAATACGGTGTAAACAAGGTTATTTGCTTATAAAATGGATCTACATCAATTTTGTACTATGATTTATGTTAAATGATGTTTAAATACCAAATTTTTGATTTGATTTCAAGAAAACAAACTGGTATTTGGACGTTGCAATAATAAAAGAAACTTATTTGTGTATCTAGTTTGGATTCTTTATACTAAAACAATCTGGTATGCATTAGTAAGTTCTGCAGGATCAAAAATTTGCTCAATAAAGAATAATACGGTTTCTATATTAGTGTAATAACTGCATGTACAATGAAGTTACATTTTCCTGAAAAGAAAGATTCTTTTGCCCTTGAAATATCCAAATTTTGTATTTAATGAGATAAAAATTCTTTAAATTTTAGTTATCATTTAATATCTTGCATTGCTAGGTTGTATTGGTAATAATGACTTGTTTGTATTTGTAAAATTCGCAATGAGAAAGCTGATAAATTGATTTCACTGTTCCATTAAAAAAAGATAATCGTTTTTCTCAGAATTTTTACACAAATAAAAATAAATAATATATATTATTTTAACTAGATGCATTGATTTACTTGCATTTTTTTCATAAAATAAAGCATATTTTATAAAATTTTTTTTTCAATCTGTAAACTGTTCACAAAACCATTTTGCATGGTATAAAAAGGAGTCTAAGAAAAAAGTATAAAAATTAATGAAGAATATAAGTAATGTTTACAAGTAGTCAGCAAATATGGATAAAAAAATTTCAAGCTAAGTCGGATAATTTCAATGTTTCGTAATTATTAATAATTACAATGCCTATAACATTGGTCTAAATCAAATCCAATTAAAACCATAGATTTTGTAAAAAATGAGATTTAATGCAAATATTTTCGCCGTTATTCAAAGATTAAGAGTTGTGGTTTGGTGCCGAGGTTTATTTATGCTTGAAGTTTATTGTTGTTATAACATTTTTAGATGAAAGTTCTTTTTTGCGTAGATGCGATTTGAATTTTTTGAGAACTTTGAGTTTTTTCGCGCCTATAATGAGCACTTTCAACAAAAATTGTTTGGAATTGCATACAAATGAGTTTGGCCTTAAAATTGTCGATAGTGTCTGCATAACTATGGATATGCTCGATCAAATGAGGAGCAAAAAGGTCCAAAAAAGGGGCTTTTTGCAAGATTTTCACTCTCGAGCCTTTATATTTTAATATACCGGCACTGTATTTTATCAAAGATTTAAGTGCCTTTATAGAAGCATATACTGTTCTACCATAAAAAAATACAATAATCGTTTATCTCAGAAATTTTATGGGGGGTGGTAAAAGTAAAGCAAATCTGGGTAATTAAATCTATTGAAGATTATTCATTTGCATCCACAAAAATATCAACAATAGTAATTTATCCTGGAATTATTGTTAAACCTTTTGCATTTTACAACTGCACTAATCTCAAAAGAGTTGAGATATGTGAAGAATGTATGATTTCTGAAAACGCGTTCAATAAAACATCGATTGAAAAATTATTTATAACAGATAATGTTCAACTATTAAGGGTGCACCCGTATGTACGTTTATTTGAGAGGAGGAGGATTACCCTCTCAATTTTGAGGGATTCGTTAGTTTATTTTCTCGATGAATATGCAATAAAATTTGATTTTTACCTTATCAATATACTTCATATAATATACATAGGGTTGTTAAAAATATCAAAAATTAGCGTTTTGAAGACACCATGGTGTCTTATAATTTTCGCTTCCTTATTGGCGTGTAGAAATCAATGCGCCAATAGATTGAAGAAGAAGAATTGTTTTTCTCTTAATGAACTTTAATCCTTTTGATATAAGAATATTAAAAACATTAATATAATTTCGATTTCGGAAATTAAATTTCCAAATTTTTTGTCGATTTCGGAAATAACAGGATCCCGCATCCAACACGCAACAACAAAACACAAAACACACTTTTTGGTTCTTTCATCGTTTTAATCGTAATTTATGTAATAGATGATTTGGATAAATTTTACAAAAATAGAACCTATATTATATTCTTTTCAAAGATTCTTGCAAATCATCAAAAATAATTGTATTTTAAAAAACGATCAAATTATCCTTTCATTATTTTAAACTTAAATTAGTTTTTATGATTGACTAAAGCAATCATATTTATTCATCATTAAATAAACAAAAAAATAATATTTGAGAGTTATTTCAAAAAAAAAAACACATTGAATTTATTAATTTGTCTCAATTTCAGTATTATAAATTTTTATAATTTCAATATTTTGAAATACACTTTTTAATATTTCAATATTTATGATATTTCAATGTATTAAGTGGTCTCAAATTGAGCTTCTCAAATATAAGTTGGCCTATTCAAATAATAAAATTAAATAATATTTAAAATAATAAATAAAAGTGATTGAGGTCATAGCAAAACGGCTGTTTCAGTCATTAATTCTTAAAATAAAAAGGGTAAAAACTAAATAAAATGGGTAAAATTCAATAGTGTCTGTGCTATCGTTCAATTTGAAGGTGTCTTTTGAAACCGCAAGACACATTGAATTTTTGAATAGTGTATTATGGTTTGACAGACACCAATGAAAAAAATAAAATGATATTTATTTTAAATATATAAGATCCTTATATAAAATATAAATATTTTATCGTTTTATTTTCTTGTTTTAGAAATGTTTTTTATTGAAAAATCAATAAAACTAACTCCAAAATAAAATTTTTGATTTAAAGACAGTATGATGACACCAGGCAAATCTTCCAAGACACCTATCGTCGGGAATCTAACAACCCTAAATATACACATGTTCATGTAAAAACTTTTTTCCAAAATCCTCAGGAATTAAGGGATTTTTGAATTTTAAGAATTTTTTTCGAATTTTTTCGAAAAAAAAAATATTTTCAGAACAGCCTTAACGGCTAAGATTTAGGAACAATGTTAAGTATCAAAAAGAAAGGAAGTCTGATATAGACAACATATATCGTTGAAGGTTGAAAAAATCTCTAATATTTGAGCCCAAAATTTCAAATTTTAATTTTTTGAAAAAAGAGGCCACCCATATGTACGTTTATTTGAGAGGAGGAGGATTATATTTTTGAAAGGGTGAAACATTATGAATATGTTAATTATATAATAATATGTATTATTATAAAAAAGAAAAAATAAAGCACGTTAAAATTTTTCTTTCTTGATTTTTTACAAAATCTACTTAGAATTATGCAAAATATGACTAAATAATTATAAATTTCAAGTTAAATTTTAATTTTGATAAATAATTTAAATTTCAAAATATCAAGTTCAGTTCGACTATGTATGTAGTAATTCCTCAATAAAGTGCCAAAACCCTATTAAAATATATGAACATTTCCAACATTTTAATGTTTTTATTTAAAAATTTGTTGGAATATGAGCTTCAAACAATTATTATGTAAATAAAAATAATTAAATATATGTATTTATTCGTATTACAACCGTAGTAAGTCGATTCTTCCTTTCTTCTACTGAGATTTGAATTTGATTTCGAATTGTAAAGAAATTCAAAGGGAAAATACTAGCGGATAAAAACTACCTCCATGAAAGGGTCATAATGGACTCAAGTTGTATTTTTTGATATTTTTTGCTTTTCGAGCCTAAATAGGTAGCCAAGATAATGCCTAAAAATAAGGTTCTATATTCTGAAGTTTACATGATCCTCTCGTGTGCACCCTTAATGAATTCATTCCAAAGTATTGAGAAAATATACTATCTTGGCTATGATGATTATTCCATTCCCGAAATGAGGAGTTTCCTTCCAACAATATATCAAAATGACAAAAAGATTCACGTCACAGAAAATTATTCAAAAGATAATTTTGCAGATATTCCAATAGAGAAAGATGCCAAACCACAAGATGAGACTCAAAATGGAAGAATTCCATGTAGTCCACCAGATTTTTACAATGCAATTAGATCCTTTAACATAATAAGAAGGCGCTGATTTAAATAATATTATTCATTTGTATGAATTAAACATATATTTATTTTTCTAAACTCCTTTTCCTTAGTAAAGTATCTTTTTTAAATTTTTTATAGAGATTCACTAAATATTGAGTCAGAAAAAACGATAGATAGACTTTACATAGGAAAATAGGTTTAAATTTATTAATAATTTGTCACTTGTATATGTTGATAACCAAAAGAAACACATAATCTCCAGTAATAATGTGTGTTAAATATATAGACATATGTCAAACAAAATTAGTTTATATAAAGTATAAAAATTAAAACATCGAATTGCTACTAATTTATCTGTGTTTTATGATAATGTAGCAAAAGTTATGGATATTATTTCAATGTGATTGCATTATCTTTCGATTTTAATTTCAAACGAAATGAAATTCATGATGTGAAATAGATAAATGATAAAATCATAGTGCAAAAACTATTTCCTACAAGAATATCATATTATTTTCCAATAAAACTGATTTCATCCTGAAATTGTAAAGTAAACAAAAAGTATAAAAACTAAAAATCCATGTCACAGAATCCCACGGTTTGGGAATCTGTTAACTTGGAGGCAAAGGCTATTTATCCATTTTCCTCAGAGAAGGATGGATATTTAACACTTATTGCCGGTGATTCCCTTCAAGTTTTCAGTCAATCACAAGATTGGGTTTACGCTCGCAATAAAAATACATACAGATGTGGCATTTGCCCTAAATCATTCCTCAAGATGGGTAATACTCAGAATTTCAATTTAATTGATATCGAAGCTTACGAAGTTTTAAAGAACGAAAAATTACACGATATGCTTCATCCCATTTGCGATATTCACGGCGATTCCTTCTACTTACCAGCAAACTACGCTCAGATTTTAACTCAATATACAAAAGTTTTACATTTATGCAAGGAAAACAGGTCTCCTACTGAGCTTCAAGAGCTTGTCCGTGCTCTCAACGCTCTCAAGAAGTATATCGGGCTCCCAACTGATCTGAAAAGGTCAGAAAACGAATCAATTTTGACAACAACAGAACTAAGGGCTGTAGACCTTATCGAAATTCCAAGCGACTCTCGTACGATGAACTTCGAAACTACATTAAGCGTAACAATGAAATTTACAGTTACATATAACGCCGAAGCCAGAATCTGCCCAAGGCTTTACTCCATACAAGGCAACAAGCGAGAAATCCTCAATGCACCCGCAGATATCTATCACCATCAATCCGAAAAGGCTACAAAACACTCAATTCGTATAGAAAACTTACCAGCTTCAATTCTTCAAACTCTTGTCCTCGAATTGAGAGTATTCTCTCATGTCCACTTCGGCGCTGACAATAACACGCCAGGACCGTGGGCAAATGAGTATATCGGCGTTGGAACAGAATATCTCGGTACATCCGATAAACCGAAATTCAGTGATAACCCAGCATTGCAAATTACACGCCCGCCAATCGCTTTGGACGAAACAAACACCGCAAGTTTCGAAATTCCATTATTTATGCCGAAAGAACTCATTTCTCCACTTTCTACACTCAACGATATCCTCTCTGGACATAACGAAACATACTTACCATCGCAGCAGCTCTCGAAAGTTCTTTGCGAACTTAATATTCGAAAGCAAAACACAGAAGCAACGACACCTGATGGTAAAACCGCTGTCCACGCGATCAAGGAGTCCGGATCAGTCACTCCTTCGTTCCATTCTAACAATCTTTTCCTTCATTTGCATACTTTGATACATAAAACAGCAAAGAAGAGGACAAGGATCCTTATAAGGTGCCTGGACTTCAAGCAGAAGAAGTTCATCAACTGCTTCGACCGCTGCGAGGCTTTTAATGGCGAATCTTTCGCAACTGTCGTAGAAAAGGGTTCTAAGGAATTCAAGATCGACGAAATGGCTTCATTTAATTTAGATTTGATCGATGAAAAGGATCTTAAGAACGTAGTTTTGGTTATTGAAGTACAAAGAACATCCAGATCGAAAGGAACGGTCCACCAGTCATCCTACGGTATTCTTCCACTCACTAATACTCTCGATAACGCTATAATTGATACACAAGCAGTTACAGAAATTTTCTTACGAAAACCGATTTCGGATAACACCGCAGCAGGCTTATCGAACGTCGTAATGGACTGGATAAAGAACCCCAACTCACAAACAGAGACAAAATTAAGCTACGAACTTCATCTTCTCTCTACAAAATATATCGAAGTACAAAACGTAACTTCTGATAGCCATTTCCTAGCTTATATCCTTAACTGGGACCAGGCGTATCAGGAACACCCAGAAAAAGCACATGATATCCTTACAATTTTGAAGTCTTTCAATCTTGTTAAGAAATTCCTCATTCCTTACATTGTTCGAGCTTTGGCCATAAGTATTAATATTCCAGAGCTCAAGGAAACCGCCTTAGAGTCCCTCCAATTCATTTTAACTTCGATTGATGCGATGGCTCAACGTCACGCAGAGACATACTTGTTCTTCCAGCGCTTTATTGATTTATTCAAGGAAGATCCGAAACTTGCAGGCATCCACGGTGCACTTATGAAGGCTATTGATGAGAATATTCCTCTTATTTCAGAAACTAACCCTCCTTCCAATGAAATGAATGGTCGTGCACAAGGACCAGCCCGTTGTCTTTCATATTATCTCCAATTGTCCCTTCTTTCCATTGCTCTTTCAAGCAAATCAGAAAATGAGGGCAAAGGTACCTCCACAATCTTCGTCGACGCTCTTCGCTCCCTTGCAGAGAAAATCTCTGCCATGTTTTCCGATCCAAAAGCCAAATACATGTTAATTACAACAATTCCTTTCTTGGCAAACTCGTATACACTACTCTGCGACCTTATTTGGGACCATTTTAACGAAGATGAGGCCATAAAACTCATCGCAGGAATGGTTCTCCCTGTTTTGAAGATTAAAAACGCTTGGACAGATCAAAATCGTCTGAAAACAGTCTCAATCAAGGCCATTTCTAAGCCAAGAGCACATACTGCTATTTTTAATGCCATCCTTGAGTCATTTACTGCTACGGAGAGCCATCTCTTCATGATTGACACTTATCCTTCTTTGGTCGCATTACTTTTCTCAGTTTTACACTTCTCTGATGATGTAGATGCTGATATTCTTGCGATCCAGAACTATATTGAGTCCATTTTGGTCCTTCCTGAGAAAGAAAACGAGATTTCAGTTGATAATTTCAAACAAACAATCGAATTATACGAAAAACGCCTCAAGGACCTTCTCGCATGCAACCCAGAAGCACTTATGGCCAACTGCGATGAGGAACAAACGAAGAATTTGGAGAAAATTTTGAAGACTAAGAAGATCAACACTTCTTCCAACATTTACTATGTTTTGTTGTTGATCTACTTCGGCGGACAGAAGGTTTTGGAGAATTCCTTTAAGAAGAGAAAAGATCCAGCCGCATTTTTCTGGAAATTACTTGTTACATTCAAGATTATCCTTGAAGACGAGAATCTCACCGACAAACCATACTACTTCTTCATCTCTGTACCAGCGTTGATCAACATTCTTTCGTTGGTCAAGAAACCAGAAAATAATTTCCTTCTTAAAGACGTCGTACACCTTATTGACTTCATTAACTCCTTCTACAAGCAAGTCCTGAAGATGAATAACAAGATGAATTCAACAGATCTTGCATTATATCAGAGAACATACTCTTATAACTTATCACCATTAGCCGAGATGCTTCCTATGCTTCTCAAGAACATCGAACAAGATCAGCGATTCATCCCGTCCATCTTTGTCCCATTCTTCCACTTTTATATCTCTACCGACAACCAAAACACCAGAGATGAAATCGCCAACGGTTTCAGATTGGTCGTCCAAGCAGATTATCGTCGTAGTGTGGCCACTCAAAAGAAAGATTTGGACAATATCAAAATCGAAAGATCCGGAAACGCTTTCATGGACGCACTCAACTCCATTGCTAACGATCCAACAGTCGCTGAGAAACTGTTAGACATCGTTCTCCTCATCGACCAATCATCATCCGGAATCACAGAACCGGCCATTGCGCAGTTCTTTGAGCGCTCCAAGTCCATTGTCAAGTACATGCACGATATCCTTACCATTCCTACCGATGCACCTCACGAACGCGAGAAGACACAAGCTCTTACAGAAATTCTCGATTCCTGCCTCAAAGCGAACGATATCAGATTGTTTGTCCACTTTTCTTCAATGCTCTACGACCTCCACGTGAGATTGAACAACAACGTCGAAGCTGCCGAAACATTAATTTACACAGCTTCACATCTTTCATGGACAGACAACACGATTCTCGCAGAAGGTCAAGGCCAAGAAGCACAGTCAGCATCAGAAAGAAAGTGCGCATGTCTTAATTTGGCTGTCAACCATTTCAAGACAGCTTTGTTCTATGAATCAGCCATTTCCGCCATCCAGGAATTGCGTTATTACTATAACAACATTTCGTATGATTACATCGCTTTGTCGAAACTCATTGAAACGGAGAAAGAGCTCTATAAGTTGATTTCAACCGGCGGCGAACCGATTCCGCTGAACAAATTCTTTGGTGTCCGTTTCTACGGCAATTTCGACAAATTCTGGAAAGACAAAACATTCATTCACAGGAGGGATGGATTCATCTCTAATGGTTCATTCTTGAACCAGATGTCTTCATGGTTCCCTGGCTCAACGATTGTCTCCAAGCCACCAGAGGAAGTCAAAGAAGAAATGAAAGTTATCTACATATTTAACTTGATCCCAGTTGTTGATGAGAAAGATGTCGATTTTGTCTTGGAACCTCCATCAGAAATGATGGTGCGAACGACAGCTAAAGTCACACATTTCATATCAGAAGTTCCTCTTCGAATCAGAAGGAAAGATGACTTGGGCGAGAACGCAGAAGGTTTCATCCAAACAGAAGAATTTGTTTCACCTATTCCTATGCAAAGTTACACGAAACAAGTCGAACTGAAACAAATTGGAGAACAAGTTACATTGTCACCAATCGAAGTAGCTATCAGGAATCTGAAGCAGAAATCAAGAGAAATCTTAGTCACAGCTGCACGATTCTACCGAGATAAGTACTTCTATGATAAAGTTGATCGTAATGACTTGGCCTGCTTGACAAGATTGTTAAATGGTATCGCCGATGCAGGTGTAAATGGAGGTATCTCAGTCTACTTGAATTTGTTCTTTGGTGATAATAATTTCGCTAAGGAAAAAGTCAATGTTGATAATCGAGAAGCTCTAAGAACAGCAATCATCGACCAATTAAAGACATTGAAATGGGGATCGAATTTACACCATTTCTTGGTTGATGAAACAGCAATTTTACTTCACATGAACATTTCTTCTGCAACGAATAAAATGATCAACTTGTGTAAGAGAATTCTTGGCGAGTTCAATGTAAATGAACAACCAACATTCACGCAACTTCATGACCTCTCTTGGTTAGGTCCTTCTGAAGATGCTGAAAACGAGGAAGAAGAACAAAATGAATAAATAAAATTATATTTTAAAGTCTTTTTATTATTATTATCATTTTAAAATTTATACAAAGATATTTTATAATCAAATATACTTTTTCATATTTTTTTGTGTCATCTTCTTGCATTCGCATTTTTCATTCATTGAACTTACATAGTTATTACAGAATATGAACTACACTGTATATGATATACAATTTTGCCAAGGTTATTCAGATAAACATTATCATCTTCTTCTGATATTTTAGGGATTACTGACATTTATATAGATTTTTTTATATTTTTAGTCATTTTATGATTGGGATTTGTGTTTATGAAATTATATTCTTATAATTTGGCTCAAAAAATAATGATTTTTTTTTCAAAAATTTAGGAATGTCTCTTTTATGGTTTTCCTAAATTTAAAAAAATTTTGAATAAAAATTTAAATTGAATGATTTTTTCGAAATTCTATAAAAACGTTCTTATAATGGTTATGTTGCTTATTTTCATAATGAGACGAAAATTTATGATTTTTCAATGATATTCAAAAATTGTGAATAAAAAAATTAATCATAAATGTCAAAGAAAGCTCAACGAGTTATCTTTCCAAATTATGATGAGTTAATGGAACTATGCAAAGAAAACTTGTATACTCTTCGGACAACTGACGAAGATGAAGTTAACAAAATTTACGACATGATCAAAGAGAAGATGTATTCACCAGATCAAATCATAAGGCATATTAATTACTTGTCAACACTCAATCTTCGTTATATCAAGTCTTACTATCTCATCTTCAAAAAGTTGTACAACGAGTACCATCCAAGGCAAGCAAAAACCATCATACCAATTCTTGATTACTTTTACTACAAAGAGTTTGGTGTTGTTCTAAACGAAATTCATAGAGATTCATTTGATTACTTCAAAGATGTTACTTTTAATGTTCATGAAGATTCTCCTATATACAGAGCGATCATTGAAGACAATAAGAAGAATTTCATTATATTTTCACAGCATGATAGTTTCGATCCAGAAAAGAGATTGAAGAGCTTGCTGTATCCAAAATCCGAAGAAGGATATTCATTCATCGAATTGTGCTGCTTACATGGTGCTGTTAATTGTTTCAAATATCTGATCACAGAGTACGATTCGAATATCACACCGAAATGTCTTCAATTCTCATTCTTGAGCGGAAATCCAGAAATCATGAGTACTTGCCTGAAATATCAGCAACCGGACAAAGAGTGCATGAAGTGTGCAATCATTTCGCACAACATTGATTTCGTTTCATTCTTGGTGAACGAACACAAGATAGAAATAGATCTCGCTTCATGCAGCAAGTACTGCAACGTTCAAGCATTCTTATTGTACTACACTCTCTCAAAGGATACAGATGGATGTTTCGTATACTCACCTTCATTTATGAGTCTTCCACTGTGTGAGTTTTTCATAAAGAAAGTCGTAAATATCAACAAGAAATGCAAGGACAATTGTGGAATTTTGAATATCGCATCGGCAAACAACTTCAAAGAAGTTGTTAACATTCTTCTAGAAAAGAAGATATTCACAAATATGAAAGACAGTGCAGGAAACAGTTGTCTTCATAATGCAGTTCTGAGTGATAGCAATGAATGTGTCGAAATTCTTCTTTCGCATGGAATGAAGCCCAGAATCCAGAGAGAGAATGGAGAAACTCCACTCCACTGCGCATCTGCACTAAACTATCGAGATATTGCCGAAATCCTCCTTTCACATGGTGCAAATGTTAATGCATTAGATAAAAATGGCGAGAGTTCGCTCCATCTTGCATTAAGAAATGGTGCAAGAGAAACTGTGGAACTTCTTCTAATGAATGGCGCAGATCCGAACATAATTTTTGAGAAAGGAAGATCTTCAATTCATGAGGCCTCAATAAATAATATGATTAAGACTATTGAACTCATGCTGACAAAAGGCATAAATATTGATGCAAAAGATGAAGATGGAAAAACAGCTCTTCATTATGCAACAATATATCATAAAAGAAAAATAGTCGAATTTCTTGTATCTCATGGTGCAGATGTCAAAGCAAGGGATAATGACAACAAAACAGTTCTTCATTTTGCTGCAATATATGATCGTAATGAGGAAGCAGAGTTTCTATTATCTTGTGGATTAGATGTCAATGCAGTTGATGATAGTGGTAAGACAGCACTTCATTATGCATCTGAAAATGGTATGAAAACAACTGCAGAGCTTCTTATCTTGCACGGAGCAGATGTTAATGCAAATGATGACTCGAAGAATACTGCCATTTATTATGCAGCTCAAAATGGTCATTCAGATATTGTAAAGCTCCTCGTTTCAAGCGGTGCTGATGCTAATCAAAAGTTCATGTATATGAATATATCAGTACTTCATATTGCCTCTGGATTGAATGACACAGCACTAGCAGAATTTCTTCTCTCGCACGATGCAGATGTCAATACGAAAGACATTCTTGGAAGATCTCCTATTTGGTATGCTATTGGAATAGATGATTACTATGATTATCAGAAAGAGTTACCAGATATTGAAGGAATTATCGAACTAGCTAATATTCTCATTTCTCATGGCGCAGAAGTCAATGAAAATGATATTTACGGACTAACTCTTCTTCATCATGCAGCAGGATATCCGAAGAAAGATATCGCAGAATTCCTTATTATGCATGGTTCAGATGTCAATGCAATTGGTAAACAAAACAATACTGCTCTTCATATTGCAGCAAAACACCAAAATGTCGACTTGGTTAGGATGCTCATTTTGAACGGCGCTGACCCATACATAAAGAATATAAATGGTCTCACACCTATTGATATAGCAGAAAAGATGAAAATAAAGCAATTCATTGATGAATTGATTCATCCAAAAGAAGATCACTAAAATCAAATAACCTCTATGAATCAACACCTTAATATTATCCGAATTATATTTGAATTTTAATTTTAATTATTTTTTTAATTTTAAATTTTTATTATTACAAAGTATCGTGTGAAAGATTTTTTATTATTGAATCAGTGAATCAATATAATATATATAAGTTGTGAATGAAAATATGATAACATAAAATAACTGTAACTACATTGTCTTGACATAACAATATGAAATATCTATCACTTATCATAATGAAGTAATCGAAGATTAGCCAAAAGCTAAGCAAGAAACATAAATTACTATCTTAATGTTGCTATTTAAAGTACTTTCCGACTGGTCCAATAAATTTCAAAATATTGCCATCACTTTTTTTCCAACAAATATTTTTTCTAATGTCTAATGAACATGTTTATCTAGGTATTGACCTTGGCACAACTTTTTCATCTGCTGCCATTTATAACCCAGACACAAAAACAACAGAAGTTATTGAAATTGACGGTAAAAAAGAACTTCCATCAATGGTTGCTTTTAATGTTTCACCACACGTTGTCGGTGAGCCTGCAAAAGGTCAGTTACTTATAGAACCAACAGCTGTTGCTTACGATTCTAAGCGTATGATTGGTCAATCATACGATGATGTTATGAAACAAAAATTCGAGTGGCCATTCCGAGTTGAAAGCTCCTCCGAGAACGATCCAGAGATTGTCGTGGCATGTAATGGTAAAGAAGAAAGTGTCAGTCCAGTCCAAGTTTCGGCAGAAATTCTTAAGTACATTAAGTCGAAAGTGGAAGTCAAAGTGGGCCACCCGATTGACAGTGCCGTTATCACAGTTCCAGAAGGCTTTTCAACCAATCAGAGGAAGACTACAAAAGAAGCAGCCGAACTTGCTGGTTTCAATATCAATAAACTTGCTTTACTTGCCGAGCCCACTGCTGCTGCCATCAAATATGCCTATTCTGCCGATCCGAACCAGCGCCATCACATCCTGATCTACGACTTTGGTGGTGGTACATTTGATATTTCACTTGCCACTATTGACAACAAGACGGTTGAAGTTAAATCGACAGGTGGTGACTCTCGACTTGGTGGCCAAGACATTGATGCCGCTCTTGTCAACTATTTAGCTCCATTAATCCAAAAAAATTGTGGCATCGATATCAAGAAAAAGGGCAACGAAAAGATGTTCAACATTGTCAAGAGAGAATCAGAGCAAGCTAAATTACAATTCTCTGATAACATCGTAGCCTATGAATTTAATATTAATTGCGGAGATAAATCATTTATCCATAAACTCATGAAAAACAAGTTCATTAACTTGATTGACCCAATCGTTGAAAAAACCATCACACTTACTAAGGAACAATTAGATAAAACGTCCGATCAAAAGAAGATTATTCTTGTTGGTGGTTCTTCAATGATTCCTCTTGTCCGTACAAAGATTGAAGAACTCGGAATCTCCGTCATCCAAAACATCCCACCACTTACAGCTGTTGCAGAAGGTGCCGCCTACTTTAACTACATCAAGCACTCATCAGGACGTAAAGCAAGAAAGACACCACGTCAAACACTAAAACCACTTGTTAATTATCCAGAAATCCCTGATACTACTCCACCGTTGTATCCACCGGACAAGCCAGATTCTGAAACCAGGAATGTTTCAATGCCGGTACTCGATCTCGGAAAACCAGATGATGATGACGACAATTTGACTGTTGTTGATGTCCTCAGCAAATCAATTGGTATTGTTCTTAGTGATGGAACAGTTGCCAAGCTTCTCACTAAGAATACTCCGCTTCCATGCTCCAAATCAAGCAATTTCATGAATGCTGCTGAAGCTGATGCAATCGGTATCGATATTGTCGAAGGTGAAGCAAAGATGGCTGATGATTGCATAAAAATCGGTAGAATCGAATTCGAAATTCCTCCAGGATCAGCACCAAACTCTATCAAATTCACGTTCAAAATGGCAATCGACGAAGAAAGCCTCATCAACTGCAAATACACTCGTACAGATGCTGGAGGTGGTTCTGAGGAATTCAAGATCAAAAGAACTGGAGGAATCAGCGATAGAACTAAACGCAAGGCCCAAGAAAACATGCAACGCAACGAACAAAGTGGACAGGTAGCTAATCAACTCTCTAATCTTATTAATGAAGCATATGATTTAATTGCTAAAGTCCGTAAAGCAGCTCCAAGAGGATCTCCAGAACGCCGTGCTGCAGATAGGTTTGAAGGAAATGTCGAAGACATTGAACAAGATGAATGCGATGTTACAGCTAAACTCAATGATTTACAAGAATTGCTTAACGATTTCAAGAATAAGTGCAAACAATATATATAAATATAAAAAAATTATTATTTATTGATTTTTTTTTATTATTATTATTATTAACTAGTTTTAAGGCAGCACAAACGCCCATCTGACTTTAATACAAAATTTTGACAACTGGGGTGAAGCATCAATGAAAATTAGTCTTAAACATCTGAATTAAACGCAATGTCATAGGGGCGTAAGTGCACCTCTAAATCCCAATTTCCTAAGGTAAAAAGTTAATAATTGTGATCGGTGAAAAGTTATTATAAATCAAAATATAGTACCTTATATTACAATTATACTTTTTTAGCTGATTCAATAATCAATTTCGTATAAATTAATAGTAGTGGATTCCGATGAAATCTTTGATTAAAAAATCTTGACAAAAATAGTTCATGCTAGACTAAGATGATTTTAAACTTGATTAATACACCCATGTTATTAACTCTTTATCTGTTTTTGAAATGAATCACAAATTAGTGTTTTATTTGTAACCAATAATTTATTTCAGCAGTGTCAAGCTTTATTTAGCATCATGTAGGGATCCTATAAATAATGAGGTGTTAATAATTTAATGCTGGAAAAATTAAAAAAGAAAAAAAAATGAGAGATTAGTGGGTTATTTCAAATTGATCTCAAATTTTCTAAAAAACCGCATGCAATATATCATTTGAAATAAAATTGACAGCATAAAAAAATACATCAATTTCTCATCTTCACCAAATGTTTGGACATTGTGTTATCATAGGTAGAGATAATAAGCTTAATTATACCAGTTTAAACATTGAATGTAACCAACAAGATACATTTCTTTCATTTACAATTAAACAAGTTTTCACAAACAATATAGAAGAAAATGCTGACATTATTTACTTCATTCCTAATGAACCACAATTCTGTTTTTATGATCTTTTGTTCATTATGGATGGGAAAGAGATCCAACCAAAAATATGTCTCAAAGATGAATTTCAAAAAGAGCAAATAGGATCTCAAAGCGACGAATACACATCTACTATTCAAAATTATTTCGGAAGTGGGTACAGTTCATTCATTTTAGGGTGCATCGTCCCAAACAAAGAAGTTCAAATTCATTTGAAAGCTTCAAGTAATGCTGATATTAATGAAAATGGATATTTTTACAAGATTCCTGTTAATCGGCAATATATACCAGGAAAATTTGAGTTTTCAACAAAAATCAAGACTAGAAAAGAAATAAAGGAACTTATTGCCCCAGTTGATGGCATCATGAATGCAATTGATCTTCACAATATTTCATTTGTGACACAAGAGTTACCAAAAGAAAATTCAATATTTATCGAAACACGCATAAAAGACAAAGACAAAAGTATTGCTGTTTCAAGTGATGGCTATATTTCTATCTCTACATATGAATACTTTGAAGGAAAAATTTATGCAAATTCTGAATTTTATTTCATTATAGATTGTTCTGGTTCAATGGAAGAATCTCGTATTAAAAATGCAAAATTCTGTCTCAATCTTCTTATACATTCCCTCCCAGTTGGTTGTAGATTTTCAATTATAAAATTTGGCAGTATGTATGAGGTAGTTCTTCCAACATGTGATTATACCGATGAAAATGTCGCAAAGGCAATGGAACAGATAAATCAAATGGACGCCAACATGGAAGGCACTGATATTCTATCTCCATTGAAATTTGTTTCAGACCAATCAACTAAGGAAGGTTTTATTAAGCAGGTTTTTCTGTTAACTGATGGCGAGGACATACACACAGACCAAATTTATGCATTAGTCCAAGCCAATAGAACCAATAACAGAATTTTTACAATTGGAATAGGATCTGGTGCTGATCGAAACCTTATCAAGAATATTGCAAGAATTAGTGGTGGTAACAATGCTTTGATTGAAGATAATGATGAAAAAATGAACGAGAAGATCATTGAATTGCTTAGAAAAGCCATTTCTTATGCCATGACGCATTTTTGCATTAAAACCGAAAATACTCAACCAGATATGTGGCCATCACCTTGTCCACCATTGTTTGCCGTGAATTCACAAAACTTCATCATCAAATCTCCTTTTGTTGAAAAAATCGTAATTAGTGGACTGGTTGATGGTAAACAGATTGATATTACGATTCCTGTTTCCAAATGCAGTGAAAAAATAGGAATAAAACAGCTATTCTGTAAAAACACCATTGAAGATTATGAATCACTTCTTTCACAAAAATATGATGCTGATCTCGAAAATAAATGTATTCAATTATCTCTTGAATCAGGAATTCCTAGCAAGTTCACATCATTCTCAGGAATTATATATCAATCAGAAAATGAAATCAAAGAGAATTACCTAAAAGATATTGATACATCAAATCCAATTATATCCCTATATCTTAATGCTTTACTCAATCTCAAGCGCAGAGCTGCGATAAAAGAAAATGATTCCGAACCATCTGATTCCGATCATGTATGTTATAAATATCATGTTGCCTCTGGCACACAGAACTCCACTCAGCAAGGAACAAAAATTATTCAGGAAACTTCACCCATTAAATGCAGTCACAAAAAAGTCGCTATAAAGGAAGATGGAAATGATGATTTTGATATGTTTTCTTTCATTTTATCACTAATATATTGCCTATTCTATTTCATTTTCCAATGGCTTGGAATTATTCCAACTACAATTTCCAGAGAATACCTGATTTCGAGTCAAAATGTTGATGGATCATGGAATAATTTTGAAGGAATTGATCAGCATATTAAATCAAAATATGGTCTTAAAGTAGCATCTACAGTTGCTGTTATCGCATATATCAGAAAAATGTTCAAAGAAAACCTGAACGAACATTCGCCTATGATTAAGAAAGCTATGTCATTTTTAAGGCAGGTTGATGAGGAAATAGATTGGGATGATATCATTAACGAAGCTTCATAATATATCTCTGCAGATATTAATTATCTTTTAATGAATGATTCTTAAATTCAACTATTTGAGTATAAATTTATATTTTATGAATGTGCATTTTTATCATTATAAGATTTTACTATTTAAAATCATGTGAGTGGATTAGAAATTCATGTAAACACGTTTGAGTTTTTTATTCCGAAATTGATGAGATAATAATATAAGATGTGAACTCTAAAAATTGAAAAATATGTAGATTAACTAAGCAACTGCAAACCTGGGTGGCTGATAATATAGTTATTCTGATACTACCGAAATTTTTATTTCCTATTCCAGCAGCATTCCTAGAGAAATATAATGGCATGATATTATTTCCTGAAATTATACTTGTAGAATAAAATTGAATATTGGAATAATGAATTGATAATTTTGAAATTGAAGGTGAATCACAATTTTCGCTCTGTAATGCGATGCAACCTTCGTGTCCTGATACAAATGAGCTCCCTCCACCACCTGCACCTGCAAAGCGCTGTGATGCTCCACTCCAATATCCATTTCCACCCATTCCTCCGAAATCTTCTGAAGGATTATTTCCATAAGGAACATATCCGAATGCTCCATCAATTCCATCAAGTGGTCCAATATGATCAATTATATTTCCCTTACTTGCAATTCCGGGTGATGTTTGAGTTCCTCCACTTGACTTTACTGATGGGCAAATTCCTCTGCCATAATTACAGTCAGAAATTCCATCGGTTCCATTTAATCCGGCATTTCCACCTACTGATTTTGGCCATTCTGCCCCACCACCACCACCTGCCACAAGAATTCGAGATCTAAGTGATACACTATCGTTCCAATTAGATGTAATTTTCAATCTTACATCTGAAGAACCTCCTCCTCTTAGAGCATTTGATAAGCTGGCAGGGATATTATTAAATGATGCATTGGAACCTATAAACAAATATATACGGAGACTTTTATATAATTTTAAAATTCCGCTTGCATAAGCCCCTTTGCCCGGAATATTAGGAGTTCGATAATTTTGATCTGACCAACTAGATCCGACAGATCCCCATGCTTCTATGGAGAATGTCCCTGGGAAGAGGTCAACATAATATGCCGTACATTTAATATCTTCAATATTACATGGATATCCAAAAGTATATTGGTTATGGTCTTTGGTGAGATTGACTTCACCTTTAAGTTTATCAACTAGTCCAAAATTGAGCCCCGTGTATTATTTTAGTTTTCGGTAAAACCAGGTAAATATTTGGATTGGTTTTTTCTTAGACTGTTCTCTTTAATGTATGCGCTGTAATATCTCTCAATCATATTAGAAAACATTGTTCAAAATCTGAATTCAAAAAGAATTTTAAAATTCTAAAGGAATTCGAGCAGGATACTATTAATTAATCTGTGTCCGAAGGTTTCAAAATAGTATGTTTGCTATAAGTCTTGAAGTAGTCGAATGTATTACTTTATATAAAGGTGACCAAACTATTTTTTGAAAGTCCGCCATAACTTTAATAGTACTATTTCAGCGTGTACAATGAATACAAAAATTCTAAGAGTGCCACATAAAATAGTACTTTAGACTTGAGTTAATGCTACCAAGCAAATGTTAAAAAGATGACTTTAGTGTTTTGATAATCAAAGATTAAAATCATTATTGTCTAAATCAATAATCATAACGACAGAAGTTAATGTTTTTTCATAAGTGCTTTAAATCCACTTTTAAAAGTATACCTCAAAAATCAAAATATCAAAAAAAAATTGGCCGATAGATTTGGCTTTAATTTTTGTCTGCTTTTATGATTTGATATGGATGTTATAATTTTAAAAGTTGAGCCAAATTCACCAATAGATTTTTGAGATTTGCAAATACTCAATAATTTTCAGCGTGTTATCTTTTATTAAAAGAACTATTTGGTTTCAGTATCATATAAATTGATATTTACTTTCTATTTGAACCTTCATTTAGCTAATGATTTAATAATACAGATTTCATCTAGTCCTTATAAGAGAATTTTGAATTTGTTATAATAAAAAAACAAACAGATATAGCTTACACTTCTATAATAAAGATACCTTTTATAGAAATCAGTATGAAATGTGTTTTGGCTTATTGGAAGCATATCAGACATAATCGCCATAATCAAAAAATCTATATACCCAATAAGTAATAAATTTGTCGATATAGATTTTCCATAAAATTAGTTTTTAGTCTGATCTTAAAATAAATTTAATTTTTTATAAAAAAAATTACATTTAAAAGTACCTTTTTAGTAGCTCGAAATCCTGTTGGTGGATTTCGGGCGTACTTCAAAATTAGCTTTTCTTCTACATATGCAAGCTATATTTTAAATATGGAGCAAATCGGATCGGCGAAAGTAGTTTAGTTACCTTTCTTTATATTTATTATTCATGAAGAGTTAGTTATATTCCTTTTCTTTTAAATGCCATATTCTGGATAGATATTCGTGGTATAATTGAACTCTGGACAAATACATTCTTGAATTCTTATTTCGAATATAATAGAACTTTGCTTGTATATTTAAGGGTACATCAATCGCAATGGGCAAATATCATAAAAGTTACCTTATTGGATCTCGAATCTTGATGATCTTTTAGCAAGAAATTATTTTTAGTTGAGATTTATTTGATTTATTGTGCTGTGTTGTTTAATAATCATAGAGATGAATGATAGTTTTTTGCGACATGTGAATGTATACTTCATGCACGAAAAGATTGTAGCTTCGACTGGTGAGTATTTGAAGGTGCGAGTGATTTTAGACGTATACAAACTGATATCAAACAACAAAGTATTAAGTTTGCTTTAATTGTAGAGAATAAAAAGGCATAGTATTTGTCGTGCCTACTTTCATCTGCACATGGAAGATAAGCAGCGTTTAATCCAGTATTCACATTCACAAAGAATCCTCCACAAATCAAGTCAGCAGTAAATTCAGAACTGATTGAGATAGAATTAAGTTAACTAAGTTTTCTCACATCTGCAATCATTTCCTCCGAAAACTGCACACAATTAAAAAAACATGGTCTAGTTAATAAAATCAAATTTGATGATGTCAGATATTTGAATGATGCGTAGAACAATTCTGTGCACTATGTAGGCGGAAATTATCAACTGAGAAACCAACAAAATATCGTTAATTCCGAAAAGGGTGCTGCAAATCCCCGGCCATGTTTGTAGAAGATATGTATTATGAAATGTGCTCATAACATGGAAATCAATTCTGTCAAAATCTGGAGATCCACTCAAATTAATATCTTATGAAATTTGAAGAATGGATTTTATTAAAAAAAGCTATATAATGTTCATACATTCTAATATACTTCTAGTTGTTGGAAGGAAATACTTTGGATTTATAAAGAGATTAAATTTTAAAAATTCAAAAAATGATTAAATTTGAATTTTAATCTTTGGCATAAGAAGTATAGTTGCATCACTCGTATCTAAAATAGCAGCATATGAAGGAAGGTTTTGCCGTATCTAAATTCAATAAATTTGTTAAACACTCTTATTGATTTAGTCTGATAATCAATGAGATACATATTTATTTCTATATGATATGTCAAAATTAAAAAAAAAGGTAGTGGGGCTTCCAGGCGCGTTGCGCCCTCTAGCCCATAAGAAATTTTTCCCAAGACCCAAGAGGAGGACCGAACCCCAGCCGACCAGCCGTTGACTTTTTTGTAGAGCACTCAAAATAGTATAACTTTGTCCGGCAAGTAAGGGTCTATCATCGCTACAGAAAAGTTACAGGCGTTCCAAGGAAGTATACTTTGAGAAGCCTTTTTCCCCTATATGAATGAGATAAGACGGTTATTTTACAAAACTGACAACACTTTGACCGAGTAGTTTTTTGTGCTGAACAAAAAGTGTCATATAAACATCTGTCAAAAACCGTTTTTTACTTCACTTAAAATGCCACGTAAGCTACGTAAGAATATACGTAAGAGGAAGGGAGCATTGAAACATCCAATAGTAAAACTGACACCACAACAACAGTTGCAACAACAAATGATGAAGACCCCACTATGTTGCAACAAATGTCAAGCAACCCTATGCTTTTAAACCGAGTTATTGGTGCACAGAGTGGAGGTTTAAGAGCGGCACTTTTAGCGAAAATGGCAGGCTATGGTGGAGCTGCAGACGGAACAGCTTATAACCTCCAAGTCAAATGAATTTGAGTTCACTCAAAAATCAAATATCAGATGTCAAAAAGTCAACAATAGACATACAGAAGCAAATAGGTGAAAACGAAAAGAAACTAGAATATGACAGACACACAAAGAAACTCAATGAGTTAAACGTAGAGAAAAAGAAGAAAGAAGAACAACTGAAAGAACTAAGTACAGAGAATACGAAAAAAGTGTCGGAAAAAGCAGCAGAAGTAGCAAAAATGGAACAAGAGTTATAAATTTGAAAAACCATACTACTCAATATAAAGTACTGAAAGATGAAGAGATAAAAACAAAAAGCCATGAAAACATATATGGATAGCGATGAGTATAAAAAAAGAAGTTGAAGCAAATGTAAAGGCAGAAAAACTTTTACAGTTGCAAAACCAAACCGTACAGTATGAAAACTTAGCACAAGAAAGTAAAAATAACGACGCAGCCATGCAAAAGGCAATGAAAAGCGCAGAATATATAAAAGCTAATAATGACTGGTTAGATGCCCAAGCCAACGCTAAAGCAGCCCAACTTATAGGGTCAATAAGGACAAAAATACAAGCGGATGAAGACAGTTCAAATGAAGCTTTAATGAATGCTGACTTTAAGAATGCCTTCGAAGCTCTTCATAGTAAGGTGAAACTAGTGAACGACTTCTCATCTGGAAAGAAACTGAAGTCTGAAGGTTTCGACAAAGAGTTAAGAAGAGTAGCACAAAATATGACGAAAATAACAGATGCAGCAACGAGACAGGCAGTTCAAAGTGCCTATGACGCCGTTAGAGCAACTGTTGTGGAAAGTCAAGAAAAAGAGTTACAACAGACCAAAACAGACCTAGTAAATGCTTTCTTAAGAACGAAAAGTCAGGTAGGACATTATGCTGCAGATGGAACATATGTGCCAGCTGGTGGAACTTGTATACCACCAAACCCTCCAAGAGAAGCACCTGCACCAGGACTACCTAAAACATTTACATCGTCACATGGACACAGACACAGGCATGCACCACAACAACAACCAAAACCAACAGTTCAAAATCCAGCACAACAACCAACAGGTCAAAATCCAGCACAGCAACCAACAGTTCAAAACCCTGCACAGCAACCAACAGTTCAAAATCCAGCACCACAACCAAAACCAACAGTTCAAAACCCTGCACAACAACAACCACAAACAGAGCAAGGACATAAAAGAAGTAGAGAAAAAGGAAACCGAGAATTCTTAAAAATGCTTAAGGAAGATTATGGTTACCCAGATACTCTTGACTTTAGTGACAGATATAAAGAAGCTATTAGAAAGTTCAAGGAAGGAAATACTGACCCGAACCTATTTAGCTTTATGGTTCAGCATCAAATCGGATATAATCTCAAACCTGGAAAATACAAGCTCGCTAAGGATATGATTTAATAGCATATCATCCAAATGACATGAATGAATTTACTCCGAGATATTTGGTGGCAGAGCTAAATGATAATTCAACTCTCTTCATGAAACGCGTAAAAATAGAGACGAACGAAAGAAGAAAGGTTTATGAGTCCGGATGACTTAGATAGGGAACTTGTTAAAAACGGTCTCGGAATATATGAAATGCCAGCAGATGAGGTACAAGAAACTCAACAGAAAAGTTCAGATACAACCAGACATGGAAGAAATAGTTCAGCAACAACAGCTAGAAGAGCCTGAAGGAACGAACAAGTCCCTCCTTTGGAAACTAACTTCACAGAACTAGATGAAGATTTGGAACAGCCGAAAAATCTTGACCCTCAACAAGAGTATGCGGAGAATATGGAATCTTTCCAAGAGTCTAAGAAAAATTCGGCTGACATAGTAGAAGAATATCGAAAAATGTTCACCGACATACAAAAGACTCCAACATCAGATGAAAATATTCAGCATAAGAATGGAAGTACTGAAAGAAAATGTACGCAAATACAATAATCCTTTTTACTTACGACCATATAACGTTCAATCTTTGGCTGAACTCGGTGAAATAAAAGGTTAAATTTCAACAAAACATATAGAAATGAAACATTGTTTAAAGTTCATTCAGAACCTAACCAATATGGAAACAAACCTACTTTTGTTTCTGCAGACTATGGAACTACAATGAGATGGGGTCATAAAGCTAATCTGGATAGGTGGTTCATAAACTTACAACCTCAATTCCAAGAAGTTGTAGACGCAATGGAAGTGAATGGTGAACCAGAATATAACGGGTATTTTCAGCGGCGGCTTTAATGCCATTGAAAGATATGAAAGATGCAGATATTTTGGACCAGTATGAAATGAACATGGCTGAGGGAAATATAACACCTGACGTTCTAGAACATTTATCTCAAAGAACTACACAGAACCATAAAGATGGTATATTTGGTGAAGAGTTTAGAAAGAAAGTTAGGGAGAGAGAAGGAAGAGACCTATTGTACATGACCTTGCAAACGAAAGTTTGCAAAATGTCATAAAAACTTACTTTGCAGACAATGAAATGAGAAGGGATGAATATTTAAGAAAAACTCAAAATGGACAGTACCAAATGAAATGTTAGTATTGAAACATGTTCCTTGACAAAATAAAACCAACTACAGAAATAAATGACGCAAGACTGAAACATTGGTAAAAGCTTTTCCCATTCACAAAAGATATTTGGTTAATGGAAAGAAAACCAGAATGGCCTACAAAAACATATATTTGGAAACGAGCTTATTCCATATGGACAAGCTCTGTTTGAAGAGCTTGAACCGGAAACTCAGGAAAGAGTCATGCAAACAATAGCAAGACTCAAATACAAAACTATGACAAAAATCTTTCTAGGATATAGGTTACCTGAGATGGGCGACCAGAGCCCAAAGGCAAAAAGGACATGGGAAATTTACAACATACTAGGTGAACATGAGGCAAAGATGCAACAACTTGAAGCAGAGGGCAAGTTACCAAAAGCGACACCAAAGAAGAAGAGAAGAGTAGAACAAAGTGAAAGTAGTGAAGAAGTAACTTCATCTAGTGAAAGTAGTGGCAATGAAGGAAAAAGAAGAGTTAAAAACTCAGTCAGGAAGAAAGTAAAGCTTGGCCGAGTGGGTTCTATTATGACATATAAATCCAACTATTCTATATTTTTACCCATATGAAATGTACGCCGTTCAGAATATAACGCCAACAGTTTGGATGCCATGAACGAAATGTTTCCGAATGGTATAACGAATGCGACAATGCCATTAGAAGGTCAGAAATAGTTCCTGGAACTTACGAAATATACAACTGCTGTTTCTTATGGAAACGTAGGTGAGTTTTGGAGAAGGTTCTTCAACAACAGTAGATATTGCTTGCGACAGGTTTCATATTATTTCTATTGACAACTCATTCTTATACGTGGAACAAGACATTGAAATAAAACCTTCTGCAAGTTGTCTGACAAGAAAGGTTGCAATGGAATTTTCTATGTCGGATACCAATATGCTCCAGAAGTTTTCATGGGATATAAGATATATTCTAACTCTGACTTAGTTCAAACAGTAAACATGGGCAAACTATGAATGGTTCGCTTTGAGAAACTCAGTACAACCACAAGCTAGAGAACAAACAGACCAGTATGCAACTATTGAGAAAATAAGAAGACTTGACCCTAACGTTCCAGGAGTTTATGTTAACCTTTCTGGTTCAGATGGAACTGCTGCCACTAAAGTAAAACTGAAACTTAGAGTTCCTTTGTCATCTTTCCTCATCTTCAGGTTTTTAAGATACTTGCCAAACTGGGCAGGAAAAATTTCTATTGAACTTACTCCAAGCAAAAATAACTTAGTCATTGCACCAACACAAGATCCATTCACTCTTACAGACGTAAAGGGAACAAATCAAACGTCATTCGCCGAATTTTGCAAAGACAAAGTTGACTTAGACTTTGGTTTCTCAAACTTCAACAATGAAGTAAACTATTATTTCAATGCTGCTGGAACTGCTTGGGACACAGTTAAGTTTAACATGCGAACAGTTTGAATGCAAGAAATAGAAAGCAGACTTGCAGTCTATATGTTGGACCCAGATATTTCAAATGCTTTAGCTGCCAAAATATTGCAGTTCCACTTATGTTCCCTATACACCAAATATCTGTCAAAGACTTTGCAGGTGAAGTTGGAAACCAAAATCCAGGAGCCGCAGGTGCAAGAACAGATATTGCTTTAACAACTGCAATGAAACATGCAGATACTATGTTTGTACTTTCAGACGAACTATAAATGACTATTCTTGTTTCTACAACCCTGGTATAAATATCATATAAACATAGATGGCAAATATTATCCAAGAGAAGAATATTCTACAGTTGAGGATATGAGGTCATACAACTTGACATTAGATGCTATGAACTTTAACAACAACTTCACAACAACCATTAACCCTGAAATGCAAAATTCTATTATGCCATATGTGAAAGTATGGACTCATACAGGAGGTCAAAAAACTCAAATATACAAATGGAGACCGTTCAAACTTTTGGCTTGGCATTCCATTTGCTGACTCAGAAGACTTTATGGTGGTATTTCAACTGTTGGTACAGTTCAAATACAATATACTGGTGACAGAGACGGTCCAGATGAATTGAGAGCAAAGTAGTTTACAAAACCAATAGCACTTTTCACGGAAGATGCTCTTTTGAAGATTCGTTCGATGAAACCTGCTGGGGCTCCTCAGATTGGCATAACGACAGCTTTCCATCGAGCAGATTTTGGCAGCAGGTCAGTAAGTTGTTCTTGAACTGACTTCTCTCCGTCAAATATTGACAGTACGCCAGTTTTGACATAATATTGTATTATAAACTTTCCTTTAGTAATATCTGTAAGTTTTGAAGTTATATTTTTGTCTGCTTCAAGAACTTTCACCATTTCAGTTATACCAACTTTCTTTGCTTTATGAAAATATTTAGGTTCAGCAAAGACTGCTATTCTATAACATTTTCCATTGTTTGTGTAAAGAACTATTCTGTCAATGTATTTGTATTGTTTGTGAGTATAAACTTTGTTCTGCTTCAATTCAATAAGATATCCGAATACGTCCATCTTTTTATTCTAAGTAAAATGTCATTTCCGAAAAATAGAAGCGTAAGTGTTTCAAAAGGTTTAATGGCGGTGGCAGATGTGAAGTTAAATTCACCAACTCAAACAAACAGTCAAAGTGTTGTTGTCAATGTCAAAGACAGAGATGTTGAAGTGGGGAAACCATACGAAGACGAAGATGGTATAACAATTGTTCTGTAAAAGAACCAACATATCCTGAAGTTAACAGAGACTTAAGTTCTGTTGCAGATATTCGAAACGACTACCAACAACTGAAAGACAAACTTCAAACTCAGGAGAAGATTTGTCAAGCTTTAAGTATAATGTTAAACTTGGTCGAACACAACCCTGTAAAAGTGAACTCATATGTCATTGCACCTCATGAAGTTTTGAAAGAACTATTGAAACTTTTGACAGAGGCAGACGATATAAACATCAAAGAAATAGAACCCGACATTTGTTGCTGTGGTGTTTCATATAATGTCATTGACAAGATATACGTTATGAAAGGAGGTGAAACGTTGAACTTAAAATATAGTTTCCCAGACGTTATAAAAATATTTGACGACCACAACATTTCATTAAAATTTATTTGCTAAGTAAATGGCAGAAGACATAATGGTTTATACTATTACGACTAAAAACCCTGAGTCATATAATTCTATAACAACAAACTTACAAAGTCCTCAAGGACGATATTGTAAACTAACCTTAAACACAATGACGACTAAAGCCTGTTTTGCTCTTTTGACACCAGAAGACTTTATTGTTGTGAATGGTAAAAAATACTCCTTTGAAGATACTTACTCAGATATACCACCAACAGGTTTTGTTGACTTATTTAATACTTTAAGTACGGGTGTAACATGTGCTGCAACTAGAGCAGGTTTCATTATGTTTGGATGTCCGACTGAGTTTACTATAAACGATATGAGCTATAATACAAAACTTATTTCTGGTTTTTACTACCAACAGTTTCCTATAACAGGAAAAGGTGTCATACAAGGAATGTCTATTCCATTGACATTAAGCACACCAATCTTATATATTGTTTCAAACTTAGGTTCAAAGTGTTATTCGAATGTCGACAGAAACTATTATGACCAAAAGATACTTATGCGTATAAACAATACTTTTCTCTGCTGGTTTGCTATTGTTCATTCGAATGCAGATTTTCAACCTTAGTGAACTCAAACATTTGGCAAGTATAACGTTGACATTAGTTGACGCAAACTTTGTTCCTGTAAAACTTTTTATGTCCTATGTATTTGTCAATGACGGCAGAAAGTTTCGAATTGGAAGATGCAACTGTGGAAAGTATTGTATTACAAGAACAACTTCAACAACAAATAGCTCAAGAACAACAAATGCAACAAATGGAACAACAAAAGTCAAGAATAAAAAATAATATTTTTTTATTTTTATAAAAATGTACAGAATAGATGTTTCAGATTTTTATGACTTCCAAGCATTCAGAAATATGTGTCCATTTCGAGACTATAACAAAGCAGTCGAGAATTTGAAACGTTTAGTCATTTATGTTGACTCTGCCCCAGAATGTTATGTCATGAAAGAATGGGATGTTATCTTTAACAACCAAGAGCAACAATAGTGTCTGAACAAGAATGTAGACAGAAACTTAAGAAAATAAAAGTCGTACAAGTTGGCATGAAGATGTTAGATGCTTGGGATATCTTATTGTCAAAACTTGAAGATTTTTCAGTTCGTGGTATAAGTTCTATACACCTTCTCCAAACTTCTATTCTATCTTCACTGGATATAAATAGAACAAGTAGAATGGAAAGAAAATATTATAGAAGCTTGGTTAGACCAATGTCAAAGAATTATATGCAATGGAAACGAAAAGGTTTATGAGTATATCTTATGTTGGTTTGCAAACATCTTACAACATCCAAGTGCTAAAAATGAAACTGCTCTCATTATAATTGGAAAACAAGGAACAGGTAAGAACACATTCTTTACAGATATCTTATGCAAACTGTTAGAAGGTTATTCGAACCATAATATGACAAACTTAGAAAACATCTGTGGCAAGTTTAACTCCTCAATAGAGATATGAAACTTATAGTTTGCAATGAACTTCAAAGTATAGATACAACAAAAGTTTTGAACTCAGATGCTTTGAAGAGTCTTATAACAGACAAAGTTGGAGTTGTTGAAAGAAAGTATAAAGACCAAAGAGTTTGTGAAAATGTTGCAAACTTCATTATGGTTTCAAAACAATGTTGTTCCGATGAAGTTAGAAAGTTCTGACAGAAGATATGTAGTTGTCAGAACGTCAGATTCTCATATGCAAGATACAGAATATTTTGACGACTTAGCAGAAACTTTGACACCAGAGTTTTACAACCATTTGTTCTCATACTTTATGACATTAGATATTTCTAAGTTTCAATCCAAGACAATTCCACATACCGAAGAGAGACAAACATTGTTAGAAGCAAACAAGAGTGTATATGAACTGTTCATAGAAGAAAGCGACTTTGTGTCATTAGATGAAAGGTCATTGTACGATTCGTATAAACAATATTGTCAAGAATATGGTTATATGGCAGCTTCTAAACGTACATTCTTGGCAAATGTCAAAAGTCTTTTAGATGTTCAGAATGGTGTATATACAAAGAAAAAATTTTCTGAGTAAATTTTAAAAAAATATTTTTTTATCCGATAGAAAAAGATGGCAAAATTCATCTCAGTAAATAAGTACATGACAGAAGTCAAAGATAAGTTAGCTCCATTCGCATATTTGAATGTTTACTTCTACAATTTTGAAAAGTCTACATTTGACAAAATTTGGAACATTGCACCAGTTAAGTTTGCTGTTGTTAGAAAAAGTGGTGCGAAATTTGAAGACTTAGACATAGAAGGTTTGTTGACAGTCAAAGAAAATTTTGACAGAAAGTTCTCAAAACTCGAAGAAGGTAAAGCATACAAACTTGTTATACCTTATGAACCAAAGAAAGCAGACGACTATGAATATTATGAGTCTAAAGTTGTAGAAGTTCAAGGTAAATTGGGTAAAAAGATTTTAGAGTCTAAGCCAGTGTTTACTCCTAAAGAGGAAGAGAACATTGACATTGACCCAGAAATGTTCTAAAAATAAAATTTTATTTTTACATGTCATATCTCCCCTTCTCTGGAACTGGTTCAGGTTCTTTCTTCTCTCTTCTACTTTCTTTCTTTCTTTTCTCTCTTCTTCTTTTCTGGTGGAGTTATGTCAAATTTGGCGCAATATATTTATGTAAAAGTTCTTTGTCCTTTAATAGCTCATCTATTCTGTTTTCTATTTCATCTTCAAGAACAGCGCATGTGTCTTCTTTGCATTCTAAGAACTTTTGTTGGACTTCATCTTTCCAATCGGCGTCATCTCTGTCAACAAGTCTGTCATTGACAAATTTTAAGACTGCTCTTTGTAATGTTTTATGGTTCTTGTCATATTCCCAGAAACAGAACTTTAGAACAAATTCACCTTTCTTGTTTACACTATGTAAGATTTTATGGTCGACAGATGTTTTGCTGTCAAAAAGCTTGTCTCGAATATAGATAGCGAAATCGCTAGACATTTTCTAAAAGATAAAAATTTTAATTTTTTCTAAAAATATGTTAGAAAAAAAGTTTGCTGACATTGACAAGAAATTTGAGAATGTTTTAAATAAGAACAAGGTGAAGTTAGAAAATGCTCAGATAAAGCCTATACATGAAAAGTTCTTATTTGCTCAGAATGGTATAACAGGTCTAATTGCACCACCTGGGTCGGGTAAGACTTTCACTTATCTTAAAATGGCTGCACAACAACAAGAACTAGATGAGAAGAACCCATTCTATGAGTTAGTAGTCATTTGTAGTACTTCTGGTCAATTTGACCAAACCGTCAATTCGTTCAAAGATATTATAAAGAAGTCTAAGTTAGTATGTATAAAGGAATACTGAGTTGTTAGATTGGATAAAGAAGTACCAAAGAAGAGTTTTGAAGTATATATGCTATAATGAGTATATAAATTCTAAGTTTAAAGACCCAAATGAGGAATGCAGAGAATATTAGAGAAGAAACACTTCAGAAACAAACAGAAAGAGATAGAATACATTTCGAAGAAATTGCAATCTTACGATTGGAAGACTTACCCTCATAGATGTCTTCTTATCTTAGATGATTTCGCCTCTCATCCTTTGTTAAAGAATAGAGAACAAGACATGTGTCGAATTCTTAAGAAACTTAGGCACTTTAACATTTCAGTCGTAATATGTGTACAGACAGCCAAGAGTTTAAGTAAGGATGTTAAAAGAATACTTACTGACATAATACTTTTCCCCGGATTGTCCGAAGACGATTTCATGGAACTTATGAAAGAGTCCATGGCAGGTAAGTTTGACAGACATGAACTATGGGAGAAGTACAAAGTCATACAAGACCCTCATACTTCTTTCAGAATTCATATCTACGCAAACAAAGTTCAAATTGTAAAAAGTCAATAAAAATAAATGGTTCATCTACCCTACTTGTTTGAAGTTGTCAAAATACTCTGTTATTTTTTCTTTCAGTAGCGGTAAGTCTTCTTTGAAGGTAAGTATTGTACAACCTTTCATATCATAGTGTGTTTGAGGTAACGTATCTTGAACTATTTGTTTCACATCTTCATTTGGGGTCATTGAAATCGGTAAGTTTTCGCGATAGAACCAATTTCTGTCAGATTTGTAAATCTTAGCAAGGTCGTAAAAGCTTTTGTTGTTTCTTCTGACTAAATGCAACATAACCATATCTTTATCTTCTTCATTTTCCAACTCTTCAGTATAAATCATATACTTATAGTTCTTTTCCTTTCCTTTTGGTACCGAACGTGGTATTCTTTTCTGAATGCTTTTGTCTTTTGCTTCAAGCTTGTTTTCCATCTCTTCACGTTCTTGTCTATGAATTTCGTCAAGAAGTCTGTAAATATACCAAGCATAACGAGGCGAAGCCCATATTGCAACAGCATTTACAAGAAGTCTATGTACATAATATCCTCTCAAACCGTTTGGCAATTTTTCACGATTTTCATAGAGTTTTTGCGACTACGGGATTCCCTCTTTAAGTCTGCATAGTCGTTTCTCATTCTTTCTATCTCTTTTACTGAATAGTTATATTTCCTAATTGCTGCTTTACATTTAGAACATTGCGGATTCATTTTTGCGTTATATTCTGAAACCTTACCTGCTAAAACAACCAAGGCGTCAATGGTTTTCTTTAAATCTGAAGCAGTTGGTTTTATCTGTTCATTCCATACCTTACCTCTTCTATCTTTATCTCTTATCTGCCATACACATTTTGCAGCTAATGAAACAAAGTTGTCGTATGTCTTAAACTCCCCAGATTTATATATGTCAGAGATGTTCTTATATAACATGTCGCAATCTTTGTCCATAACTTTATGGTTGCAATGAAAACCAAGGAATTCATAATTTACCTTTCGTATGAACTTCTTTATTTCTACTGAGTCAGTTGCTTTGACTTCAATTTCGTCGAATTCAGGAATAGTTAGTTTTTGCTGCTGAATTTCAGGTAGTTTAGGCAAATGGTCGATGAGGTCCTCCATTTCATAAAGATACTGTTCATTTTCTTCATCTTTCGCACTACAGTCTAAATTACTTGTTAAAAGTTCTTGCTTTATTCTTTGTATTTCTGTTTCGAAAGTATATGAAGAAGGAATGAAGCTTTTCATTTCTACTAACATAGATGTTGGATTCATGACTAACGAGTTTGGTGCTGTTGTTTGAATTGTTGTTGTGCCGATTGTTGAAATCATATCTTTTATACAAAATAAAAAAATAAATAAAAATAAAACTAACTTTATTTTTTCTATCTTAAGGAAATTCATGAAAATTCATGAGGGTAGAAATCGGGTTAGATATCGGGTTAGATCTAACCATCTACCCTAAACATTATTTTTGCTGAATTCAGCAACAAAATGAACGAGGTCAGGATGTATGTAAATACCTTTGAATTCATTCATAACGCCCTTAGTAAGCTCATAAAATGCTTGTTTTGAGGTCGAGCCACTTTTGGCTCCACCGTATTCTTTCAACCAAAACTCAAGAATTTCCTGCATGAATTTTGTATAAAAAGCAACAGTCCGAATTCCGGCGGTTGCTATATTCTTCACAAAATGCCTTATAATACTCTTCCCAGGACTTATTTTCCAACAACTTTCTAAAGTCTTTCCTAAACTGACTGACTGACTGACGGCACAAAGTGGCTTAACGAAAACATTAATATATAAAATTCATGAAAATTCAAGAGGGTGAAAAAAGAGGTGAAATCTCACCTCTTCACCTAAATTATATTTTTTGGTCCGGGAACAACTTTCTCTCAATTGGAGCTGTAGCATACTCTTTGCGTAAGCGGTTCAGACCTTCCTCGAACTCTTGGTCTCTCTTCAATTGAGATTGGAATTGGAATTGCTGGGGTGGAGCTTGCTGGAACAACCAAGGGTTGGGGAAGTAAGGCATAGGCTGAGGAGGGTAGTTCGGGAAGCCTTGTGGTGGGTAGTAACCTTGAGGTGGAAATTGGTAGTAATTCGGAGGTACTTGCTGGAACTGAGGTTGCTGAGGAGACTGTTGTGGTTCTTTAGGTTCCTCTGGTTTGGGAATAGACTCGGTTGGTGGGACGTCGGACATTCGTTTGTGTCCTGTCGGACCACAACGATAAAAATCTCTGCTACTAGCAGTACTTTTTCTGACAGTAGCAGTACTTTTTCTGACAGTAGCAGTACTTTTTCTGACAGTAGCAGTACTTTATCGTCGAAAACCCTCTCAAATTTTCCTTTTTACTGACAGTAGCAGTAGTTTTTCTGCTCCTAGCAGTACTTTTACTGACAGTAGCAGTACTTTTTCTGACAGTAGCAATGGTCGAGGTCGAACCTACCGACCAGGCAATTTACCTAATTGAAATTAACGAGCTTGTTAAAGACTTCCTCAGGCAGAATGTAAAAGGCAAGCTTGTTAACGGTTGGATAACGGGAAGGGCTGCCTTGAATCTCGAGACTTCGACTGGAATTCCAATTCAAATACCAGACGGGACAGCCTACGACGACATAAAGGACGCCAAAAGAGAAGCTCTTGTTAAGTTCCTAAACAAACGTCCTTGGATACTACTTCCAAACAGAGAGAACCCTTTCCCAAGAATGAACCAAATTCTCAAGGGTCTCCTTCACTTCTCTGGTCAACCATTCTACATAACCTGTGAAGGCGACATCCAACCAGTTCAGTAAACATCTCATTTTAACTCACTTTTTTAATGTTTTTTGTGAAAGTGTCAAAAATAAATTGTTTTCATGAGTTTTCTACGATGTTAGAAAAAATGTTATTTTCTAATATCTTCACATTCAATACTTTTTCAGCACTTTTCCGTAGTTATATATGAAAGACAATTCGAGATAAAAGTCATAGTACAATGGAATAATATGTTGCACACCATTTGTTGTGAACCAAACTTGAAAGTCAGAGAAACTGTTACTAGGTGGTTCGTAGAATTTAGAAGCAAAGTCATAAAGGTCCTTACCAATACATAGAAAACTATTGTTGCTTGAACTGAAACTTGCATGACACATAACATTTTGAGGGTCAAACACGTTTCTATAAACCATCAAATCTGCTGGTGGAAGTATAAATTTAAATGGACCATCTGGTGGTAATGGTTCGTTCTGGTTTAGTAACCGAAGAAATTGTGCCCAAGAACGTTTGTCTACTTCCCAAAATAAAAACTCTGTATCTCTTGGAGGGTTAATTTCAATCTTTTGAAATGAAACGGTGGAGTTCATCTTGTCATATTCTAGTTTCAGATAGTATGTTCCATTTAGTAAAGAGTCGTATTTTTTTGAAATTCCCAATAATATTTGTTCATTTGAGTTTGAAAGTCATCTAGAGTTTTCTCAAGACTTTCGTCTGAACGAACTGTAAAGATTCTCATTTCGTCAAATTTGTCTATTAGACCATCAGAACCTTCATACTGCCCATGAAAATATACTGCGAACATAAATGCGTTAGTTCTATTTGAAAACAAAACTCTTCTAAATCCTATTGCCTTTGCATCTGAAGGACTTTGAAGCCAACGAATTGGATAGTCAAACCTGTATGCTCGGGATGAAATTTCTTCATCTGAAATAGTCCTACCAGCATTTGTAAAGATATAGTCTAACGGTTTTGTATCTGCTACTTTTGTTCTTTGTTTTTCAACCTGAAGCATTTAATATATGTAAAAATATATTGTTTTAAAATGGTATGCCATTTCATATTTCTCATCTAACAAACAAGTTTCCCAACGGTCTTCTCCAACAAACTCAGCGTACATGTCACTTTTTAAAAAATAAATTTTTTATTTCATGCAATGTTTTATTTCTGTGCCGTCTTCAAGTATGCCCCAATATTTCCTTTTCGATATTACATGAACTTCGGAAAATACCTTATCTAGCTTAAAACAGCCCATCTTTTCACCGACCATTCCCATTTCAATGAGTTTGTTGTATCCTTCTTCGTTCGTCATGAGTGCGTCAATGTTCTCATAGTAAACCTTCACTTTCGATTTGACTTCGGAGAAGAATTTGTTGTAGTTGTCAAGGACTGCTTTTGCGAACTGAGGGTAAGACCAATGTTCGACAATAGGTTTTAATGTGGTTACTAAGCCACTTTGACCTTGAGTGAATTCGTACTTCAAAACAAAAGGAGAAACCTTTCAACAAAGTTGTCGACCTTCTCATAATGTTTACTCTTCATCTCTTGAGGTTTCTTAATGGAATATCCCCATGTCGAATTCATAAGCAATTTGAGTGTCATTGCAAGTTTGGGGTTTGAAGCTTTCCTAATATCATACAGTTGTTGTATGACTTTTCCAACTGTATAGTTCCTTCCCGGGAACTCACCATCTTCGTTTGGAATTCCAGTCGGAATATATTGGACAAACCTCATGTATGCAGCGTTAAGGTCGACATAGTATATCTTTTCATCTGAGTCGAACTTGTCGCAACCAATTGGTCCAGTTTGTGGAAATTCAAGTGAGTCTCTTATCTTCTGAGAAACTTCTCCTGTTATCTCATAAACATCGTCGAAGCAACCTGTTTCATATAAAACCTTCTGACCTAACTCAGATGCTCTCCAATACAATTTGACGTCAATTGGATGTCTCAATGGAAGTTTGTTTATAGCATCTTGAAGTTCTTGCAACCTCATTGGAAGTTCTTCTGGTTCAGGTTGGTATCCGAACATACCAACCCCTTGTGGAACTGTGTACTTCTTTTGTACTAGAACTTTGTCTGGAACAACTTTTGGTCTTGCTAACAATGAAAAGTTTGTTTCGTCTTTTGGTACAAAAGTTTCTGTCAGCTTGTCATCTGGAATTGGTTCCAACAAACCTTTCTCGAAAAGAATGTTTACAGCTCTGACAATGTTGCACTTGCCTTTTCCGAACAACGGGTTTGTAAGACTTTCGTTCAACATGAAGTGGTTGTGGACAATTACAATCTTCAACCATGGTAAGTCTTTGTCAACAACATAGTCGTCATGTGAAGAACCTTTAGTTGTAGGTATGTTGACTCGGATATTGACATTTGCCAACGGTGCAATTTTTGCCAATTGACCTCTGAGAATGTACCTTGTCTTCACACATGACTCAAGATACTTCATCTTCTCATCTGTAACAAGACCAGAGTTCCTGAGACATGTAAGAATGCAAGGTTCATTGACAATTGTTTCAATTGAATTGTAAATTCCATACCTTGTCAAGTCAATGTCAGACTTATTTATGAACGGGAAGTATCCAGCATGTTGTCTGACTGCTTGAGGGTTAGGTTGGTACCATTCGAACTTGACACTTGCAATTCCTTCAATTGCATTCAAAATGTCTGAGTCGGAGTCAACCATTTGTTCTCTCTTTGTAGTCTTGAAAGCGTCAAGAAGTTTTGCGGCTGTTTGTTCATTGCCATGTGCATAGTAAATGTGACCATCCAAATCTGTTATGGTCAATCTGAGATTGTGTCCTTTCTTATTTCCGTCTTGAATTGCAGCAAGTACTCCCATGAAGCCTTCTTTGTTCTTTCCTTCGTCAAAGTTTACTGTAAAGGTTCGACCAGATGTAATTTGACTTCTAACTTCACGATACTTTTCATATGCATATCTTGTTCTTTCCATGGGAGCATGTGCGTCTTCACCTTTTCCTTTTTTCCTTCTCAAAGGATGCAATTGTTCGTCATGTTTCCAGTAGAATCTGGCAAAGCCGTCGTGTCCTTCAACTTGAGGTTCACTAACATCGAAAGGCATGTCCATAAGACGTTCTTCTTCTAACCTCTCTAGTCTGTTTGGATAATTTGCACGTGCTGTTTCCAAATCCATTTCGTAGCGAAGACCAGACAATTTGTCATAGACTTTTATGGGTCTTCCCTTCCTATATTTAAAATTCTTCGAAACTCTCCAACCATATCTTTGTAACTCTGCTTTTATTCTAGCAGACTTTCTATCCATTCTATATGGGGGCATTTTTATAAAAATAAAAAAATATTTTTTTCTTTACTTTACATAACTGCCTGCTGCCATAAGTCTTTGACGCCAACCCATACCAGCTAATGAAGGTTGACTTGGTTTAGTTTGGAAACTAAACTTTGGTTTTGGTTTATCTTCAGTTTTTGGTTTTTCTTCTTCTATCGGTTTTTCATCACTTTTCGGTTCCTCTGACTTTACTTCACTTGCAGGAACAGTTGTGTCGTCAACATCTTCATAAATATCATATGCCATTTGTTTTTGTTTTCCTTTCAACTTTTTGTATTTGTTGTAAAGTTTAGAATATTTCGACTCTAAGTCAATGAGATGTTCTATAATGAACTGTTGGTCAGTGAAGTAAACTTTTCCATCTGTTGTCTCGAAAGCTCCTTCAGACTTCAATATTTTATTTGTGAGAGTCTGTTTCTTTTTTGAGATACTAGCCGTTCCATTTCTATGAAAAGTGACTTTATAGTTAGGGTTTGTATTTCCAGACCTGGCACTTTCTATTATTGAATTTTTCTCTTCATCTGTAAGTTCTTTGACAGGTTTTGACAATGGTTCTGAACTTTTTGTTTGTGGTGTCAAATCTACCGTTTCAACTTCTTCGGTCATTTCATCTCAGTAAAAAATTTTAGTTTGGTTTGTTTTCAACTGGTTGTTTAGGTTTTTTAAGTCGGTCTAAAACTTCCTGAGGTATAGGAAGAACTTTACAAACACGTGGTGTAAAAGGTGGTCTTCCATGACTTATTCTGTTTAAAGCTGCATTGTTCATTTCATCTCAATAAAAAACTTTACATTCCCCACGTTTGAGGTGGTTGCGGTTGGTTATTGTTTACCCACTGTTGTGCATGGTTATATCCTCTGTTAAAGAATCTTTCACCTTGGTCCATATAGTGTCCTGCTTGGTTATAGTAGTCATTTGCTTTGTTATAATAGTTTCCTGCTTGTCTTCCTACATTGTCCATCCATCCTTGAACTTTTCCTCTTGTTTCAGGATTTGGAATAAGATTTGTTGCATCTCGTGCTACATCCCAACCTTTCTGTACAGTTTGTATAATAGGTTGTGCTTTCTCTTTAAGTATACCTAATGTACTCAAAATCTTCCTTCCAACTCCAAATACACCTCTGGCTATTGTTCCCACTGCGGGCAAAAATCTGGATGCAACTCCTGCTAATGCGCCAAATAAACCCATTTCTTATGGGTTAAAAAATGACGAATCCGAACAAGGACCCCTATGTTTCTAAAGCGACAAAGAAAGCACTCATGATAAAAATCTTTAGTTCAACACCAAATGCTTGGTTTATGGATATCTTGGAAAACATTCCGAGAGTTAGAACAGATGGACCACCATACTGGCTAATATTTGTTGGTCAAAACACAAGATACTGTGAAGCCATACCATTACAGTCCAAAAATATTTTAGATATCTTAGCAGCTTTGACAATATTCGTTGACAAATACCATCCAACAAAACTGACATCTGACTGTGAAAGTTCTTTCAAATCAGATGATGTAAAAAACTATCTGCGTTCAAAAAATGTAAACCAATATTTCATTGTCGACCAAAACCATTCTGCTCTTGGTGTCATTGACGGATGTATAAAAATGTTAAGAGACTTAAACCAACCACAAGGTGGTGAAGCAAATGAAATGTCATATGACGACAAATATAGACACTTCTCCCAGGCAAAGATGAGACAAGTTTTAAATATTTACAATAACCGTAAACAAAAAGGTTTGGGAAACCACTCCCCCGAAGAAATGAAAAACAACCCTGACTTAGAGAAAGACTATATATTTAATAATTTAGTCAAAAGAGACAAACAAGAAAGAATGCCGGGCTTCAAACTTCAGAAAGGTGACAAAGTAAAAATAGAAATACCTAAACGCGACCCATATGAAAATACTATTGACTATGACAACAATGGGAACTCGACAGGTACTCACATTCGTGTTCGTAAAAATAGAAGAAAGTATACAAGAGAATATTATGAAGTTTTAGGCAAACATGGCAAAATGTACACACTGCAAGCAGAAGATAAAACTACTATTGTCAGACCTCGTTTCAAACTTGTCAAAGTTCAAGGTGGTATACTTTCAAAGACAGTTCCTAACAAATATAAGACAACTCCTGACGAATATGCTAAAGAAGTTGAAAATGACGACTAAGCAATTCTATACCATGCGTAAACTGTCATGTAAGGTGGCATGTATTCTTTACTTTGTCCCGTTGTTTGCGTATATCCTGAAACGAAATGTGTATGGTTTCCTTCTCCCTGCGTGTCATCCCAGTAACAATTTATAGCAAACTTAACGTCGTCTTTAACATCATATCCTTTACCTTTTGTCATTCCTGACCAATCCCAATATCTATGCTTATGCCAACCTGCTTGAGATGTACTTTAATCTATGTAATGACTGTGTGCAGGTAAATTTTCACCTGAAATCGTTTTACTTCCACCTGTTTCCTTTGAAGAGTTTGCACAATACAAAAACCTGTCGACTATTTGTTCCCATGCACCAACACCAAACATTACTTGAGGACCTCTTGCATCCATAGATGTATAAATAGAACCTACTGGGTTCATTAAATCAAACATATGAGATATTATAGGATTGTCTCTTTTGAACTTAAAATATAGTGCAACTATTTCAGGTTTCTTCTGGTTTGTGTCAGAATATTTTTTATAATATAATCTTATGTTTTCAGGGTAGGTAAAGTCTTGACTATAATATTTATTTCTGTCATCTGTATAATAATATACTATTCTCGTTTTTTCTATTGCATTATATCTTTTATATCTATAATAATCTAAATATAATGTTAGCTTTTGTTCATCTACATGTGGTGTTCTGTCGTCATCTCCATAGTCATAATAATGTGGTGCTGGAGCTGGGTCAGGCAATGTCATATCTGCCATTTCATAAACTCTTAAATATTTCTTTTGTTCGTCTCCATATAAGTTTAAGTAGCAGTTGTTGTCTAATGGAACTTTAACTTGTGTACCATCATTCTTTTTATAGCTTACATACATTTCATTGTTATTTTTCGGAATGAGTTTATACCGTGTACCATTTTCTAAGGACTGTACCAACTGCCATCTAAAATATTTATTTTCTTCATTGACAGAAAAGTCACCAACAATAGTTTCAATATTTTTTGTTCCTATCAAACTTTGGTATATTTCATTGACATATGTTTTATCTGCTTTATTTTCAAGGCTAACGTTTAAGTCTGTTATTTCAGAAGATGTATGTGTATGTCCAACGTCACTTTTCCTGTTTAAGGTTTCTTGTAAGTTTGTAATATTTGCAATGGTATGTGTATGTCCAACGTCACTTTTCCTGTTTAAGGTTTCTTGTAAGTTTGTAATATTTGCAATGGTATGTGTATGTCCAACGTCACTTTTCCTGTTTAAGGTTTCTTGTAAGTTTGTAATATTTGCAATGGTATGTGTATGTCCAACGTCACTTTTCCTGTTTAAGGTTTCTTGTAAGTTTGTAATATTTGCAATGGTATGTGTATGTCCAACGTCACTTTTCCTGTTTAAGGTTTCTTGTAAGTTTGTAATATCAGATATAGAATGTGTATGAGTCTTATCTGCTTTTGTCTCTAATGTTTCCTTAAGACTTGGTATTTGGTTAATATAATGTATATGAGTCTTTTTAGAATATTCGTTTTCAGCTCTTGTCACTTCACTTGACATTTTATTGTCAACATATGTTTTGTCTGCTAGTTCAGGATGAGTATGTTCTTTTGTTGCATAAGCATTGTTAGCTCTTTCTTCTTCTTTTACTATTGCATCGTCTACATATTCTTTGTCAGCTTTGTTGTCAACATCTGCTTTCAAAAGAAGTTCATTTATAGGTTTCTCGTTTAAAGTTCCTTTTGTTGGATTTATACAGACAGTATTGTTCTTATTGTCTTGAAATAGAAACTCATCTGTCATTGGGTTTATTGTCAGTTTTATGTCACCCCCTTTCAATGACTCAGATATCTTAGAATAGTTTGAAAAGTTTGTTGTGTTCTTATTTAGAGCTTGCATAATGAGTTGTCGGTTGTGTTGTATTTCTCTCATAGACGCTGTTTCATTTGACATTTTTATTATAGATAAAATATGCTTCCAATAGAAAAAGAAAATTCTAGAGTTGCTACAACTAAACCATTAGATGAACTTTTTACTAATGTCGGTCAAAAGTTTGAGACAGATACCGTAAAGCATGAAGGCTATCGTTTTGACTACCCATTAAGATGGTTAAGAGACCCATCCGTCACAAAAGCTATTGGCTTTCGTAGAATGAAGTTCATTTCAGAAGCCATACATGGTTTCCCATTTACGGTCGGTTTTGAAGTTCGATACTATAACAAAGAAAAACGTATGTATGAGAAATTTGAACAGGGAAAACTTTTACAAGTTAGTTTGCTTATAAACTTAGAAACAACTCGTCAAGCTTTTCAAGAAAAAATAAACGATATCTATATTGAATATGCAAACCAGTATAACATTGACGAAGGAGAATACCATCTCGATATTATTTATGACAGGAAAAATGCAACTGTTAAAATCAATAAAATAGAAGACCTTGGAGAAAACGTTTATATTTCTACAAAATATAACAACTTGGCATGGTATAGATTTATGAGGATGTTAAATCAGCCTGCAGCATATCCAGTACACCCGGACTATTATGAAGTCGAAAACCCTAATGGAACATATGAAAATATTTTCGACCAAGATGCTATTATTGTTCATGCTTCATTTTCTGGCGCCCAAAACTCTTTCTTATGCTTGGCAAATGACTTTTACGAAAAACCTACAAAGTTATACGAACCACCAAGTGGAAGTATTTCAGACTTTCAAGTATGGTTTACTACAGATGGAAGAAAAAGAATAATTCCATTATACCATGCGTTTTACTTAGAACTTAGTTTCATATACAACTACTATCGAACGGTAAAAATATAATTTTTTAATACGGTTGAGGTGTTGGATTTGGTTGCCAACTAGACTGTGGTGCAGGTTCAGGCTGTTGTATAACAGGAGCTTGTTCTTCTGGTTCAGGGTCTTTAGGTATAATACCAACGAACTGACCTACTCTTTTACCAATATTTTTGACACCGTTCCATACTCCTCTTCCGACAGATTTTATTCCATTCCATATACCTCTTCCAACTCTTCTGAAGAAGTTTCCAATACTACTGAAGAAACCCATTTTACTATATGTAAAAATCTAATGTCCGCCTAGTCTCTTACGTTTCCTGTTGAGTTCCATAGCATTCTTTAACTGGAGCTCATACATTCTGTTTCTCCTCTGGTAGAAAACATATTCTGGGTCAACACCTGTGTTCGCTTCATCTGCATAAAGTTGTTTATATCCCACTTCAGGGTTTGTATAAAACTCTTTCCATCTCATATTTGCATACCATGGTAGCAAACCTAACGCAGCGTCATTTGACATGGCAGTTTGCATTTGTACATCTGTTGGCACTTGACCATAGTTTGCCATTGCAGTTTGTATTCTAACTTCATTTGGAATATTCTCTGGGTTTGGTTGTCCAGGTTGCTGTGCATTCGCTAAGTTCTGTGCGTCCATTTAATATTAGATAAAAATATCTCTTACGAGTACATATGCTGAACATTTGCAGGCATTGGTTCATCTTCATATTCTCTGTACTTTTCTGCCACGTCAAATAAATAAATGACACAATGGAAAAAACCTAAAACAAGTAGTCCTATTTCAAACCACATTTACTTACTAATAAAATTTCTTTATTGTGACACTTTCTCCGGTTTATAGGACCTCTCTCATATTCTATCTTGTCATATATAAACTCATAGTCATGTATGTCCTCTAACCATCTCATAACGGTTTCCAAACCACTTTTATCGGATGTAAAGTAAAAGCATGGATGGTTATGTATAACGTCTAAAGTTTCTAAAGAGTCTCTCAAAGTCCAGTCTACTTGGTATTGAAAATCCCATGTGTTATAGAACGGCGGGTCCACTATAAAGAAAACATTTTCCTTGTCTTTATATTTTTCATACAACTCTGTCCAATGACATCTCACAAACTCTATACCCTCAATACATTTTTCTATGTCCTCTTTGAAAACATTTGTATAGTTGAGATATAAAACTTTTGACATAAGTGTTTCAATGTCATGAACTCTTATAGCACCACTATATAATAGTCTAGCAGATATACTATCCCAGTCTATATATTCTGCTTTTTTCAAAACCTCTCTCACAATATTTTTCTTATCTAATGGTATACGTTCCATCTTACCTATAGGTATCTTTTCTTTTAACTCTTTCAATATATTGTTTGTGTCTGGAATATGTTTGAGACGGTTCATATAGTTGTCGAAGTCATTGCATATAATCTTTGAGTCAGGAAATACGGTATGACATAAATGGGATATATAGAAACTTCCACCGAACAAATCTACAAATGTTAGACCATTCGGTAGTTTCTTAAGTTCTCTCAATATAATATCTTTACATCTACTCTTATTTCCAAAGAACGGTAACGGTGGTTTTGTAAAATTCATTTATATATAATAATAAAAATGTTTTTACCCGAAAAGTGACAGAAAAGTGACAAAACATGAAAACATATATAATTTGTGAAAAGTGACACATTATATAATGTTTTCGACCCAGAAGACTAACAATTTTCCGAATAAAAACTTCATTTATACTAAACATCTTCGGGGCTAGAGGGCGCAACGCGCCTGGAAGCCCCACGACCTTTTTTTTTAAAATTAGATTTCCTAAAACAGAAACAAGACTGTAAGTTATCGTTAAATTATCTCACTTTTTTACTTCGGGAGGATAAGTAAATTGATCAGTCTCTCTCAATCATTTGAGGAGTCGCCAGGTCATTCCATGAATCCTAATATTTGAATACCGAATATAACAAATCTGAAACTAAACCAAAATAACAAGTTTCAAATTTAATTAAACGCAAATTTAACATGAAAATAACTCATTTATAACACTAATCCAATATTCTCATCCCGATAAACTTAATCGCAAAGTTTATATATTGAATACTTAATTGAACTTCGCAGAAAAAGTCTTTATTTGAATCACAAAATAAAAAATAAGCATAAGTATATTTCATGATTATTCTCACATTGAAGGAGCTCATTCAATTCTTTGTAGTGGTTTATCAAATTTTTGAATAAATCTTTTTATTTTATCATATTCAATACTTTTTTATCGGAATGAGTAAATTTATGAGTAGTGCGGAACACAATAGCTGGATAGATTTTCTTGCAACTCCACCAAATATGATGGGAACCCCGCCAAGCCAACTGCCTGGGGATCTCTTTTCTAATTTTGAGCCGGCTCCAAGTCCGATTCTTTTCGAGCCACCACTTCAAAATTTTCTAAATTCTTCAGCGCCTCAAAACGCTTCACCTCCATCAACAAAGCAGACTTATACACCTCAGCAGCAATATCCTGAGTATGGAGAGCTAGAAAATAGAACACTTGCTGTTTCAAATGCCAATCCCGAAACTACAGAGGAAGAAATTATGGCTGTATTTAATACTCATAGAGGTGTTAAGCAAGTTGACATGTCTAAAATTTCCGAAGGCTATTTCACCGTTGAATATTACGATATCAGAAGTGCCACCTCTTCGAAACTTTTATATAATGGCTCAACCCTAAAAGGAAAAACAATCAATGTTTCATATGCACCTCTTCCTATTATTTTAGATCCTAAGAAACCACCGAATAACGGTACAATTGTCATCTTTCATTTGCCAGCAGGAATTACCGATGATCAAATTATAACTATTTTCGGGCAGTTTGGTGAAATTCGTCAGATTCGCGGAACTCCTACGAAAACCCAACAAAGATTTGTCGAGTATTTTGACACTAGGCACGCTGAAGCTGCTTTATTGTCAATGAGCGGCAAATATGTTATGGGTGCACGTGTTTCTATTGAATTTTCCCTGCCCGGTGGTTTCAGAAGAGGAATCCAAAAAGTTGAAAAGAATTGAAGCCATTTGGAATATATATCTCAATTTATGTTTATAAAATGCGAATATTTTTGATAGAGATAAACCAAAATTGCATATGCGATTTTTTAATTGTTGATTTAATGATTCCCTTTTTACATGAGTATATTATTTATTTCATAATCGATGTTTTCTGTCTCGGAAATGGCAATACACATTTCTTCGGCGTAAAATTTCATTGGATGTCATTTTCTTCCGCTGGCCATTCTGGTATAAGAAATCTCTTTTTTATGCAAATAAAATGGTGGGAGAGCATATAATCTTATATATCTGATTCCTATTGTTTAGGTTAGATTGGCAAATCTCCTCATATTGAATAGACAAGTAGCAGGTCATGATAAATTCTGATGGTTATACTAATCTATTTGTTGTATTCAGCATGCGGAATGAAATTAATCAAAATTTCTTCAATGTAGAAGAAAGGCTTCGAGATATACAAAATTCTTTTGCCCACAAGTTTTAATTACTAAGAGAAGATATAAATTGCATATTAATTTCAATATATTAAAATCGATATTAAATTTTGTCAAGAATCTATATATTTATTAACGAGATAAAAGCATTGTCGAAAACTAAATTGCTTAAAAAAGAACTATCAACGTACAAAAAAAATCTAAATCTAAATAGAAAATATAAAAAATAAACATACGAATAATAGATCAAACATTTTAATGAAACAACATTATTGGTTACTGCTCCTTATTACTAAAAATATTAATTGTCGAACAAATTGTATCGGTAAGGATATGGATTTTCTTTTGGTTTGAGGCACTTAAAAGCTGTCCAAGCTCATAAACTTCTTGGAATGACAAACCACCAAGAATTACAACAAATATCTCATTAAAACTTCCGATTGTTGGAGGTTTTGTTCTATTTAAGAATCCGCTGAGCATTCCTGTTCCTGCACATTTGATTCTTGGATCATCTTCTCCATTATTGTTATATAAAGATTTAATTAAATTTGTTAAAGTGAAAATTGACTTAAGTGATGGCGAAGAATTTCTATCAAAGCCGGATCTGCACTCTGTCAATATGGAAACGGCATTTTGCGGTGAACAGAAATTTTTTGCATCAGATCTATTTTGGCTAAAAGCTTTTTGAACGAGAGATTCCAGGTCTAACTGTGTTGAAAACATTCTTTTAACACCAATTACATCAAGAGATTCTTTCAACGATGCAGCACTGTCCAAAACATCGTCGATTTCTTCTCCATTGAAAAGCATCTCTTGTAACTGCTTTTTATTTGATGTTTTGAAGTTTTCGAATACTTGAGCAATGATTTTATGCTTCGATTGGATCTCATTTTTCTTTGGATCATCAAGTTTGGACCAAGCAACACAAATTGAATCATAGGTTGGCTCCTTAGATCCAACAAGCTGTTGGATGTATGTTAAGAGCTCTTTTGGACCTTTTGTCAGTTCAAGATTCAATAAATCTTTATCATAAATTGTTTGGAAGAGAGAAGTCTTCGCAAATGTATCTAAAAGGGAATCTGTATCAGCAAATAATGGTGCTGAGTAGTAACATCTATCAATAACAAGTAAAGCTGAATTTGGATTTCCCTGACGTTTCTTTTCGAAATCTCCGGCAATTTCGCCTGCAAAATTGCCAATACTGTAGCATTTAACCTGTGGGGAGCCGTTATTTTTAAGATATCTTGTAATTAAGTTAATAATATTTGGAGCTTGAGTTTCATCAAACTGAGCAAATTGTTCGAGGATATTTGTCTTTATCGTAGTTGAAATAGAGATATTTTTAACAAGTTCAACGTAGAAATCTGGGATTATTTCTATTCTATTTCTTAATTTTTCTGGAAGACATTGGCCAGTTTCGTTAATATTTGTTGTATATATTCTTGTTATATCGTATTCTTCGATTGAAGCTATTTGTGTGATTTGGGTACGATAATTAGAAATTAAGGAGCCAATAAATATTTCGAAATGTTCTCCTGGTGCTATTTCAGTCATACGCTGTATTAAAGATGTAATTTCTTTTGGATGTTTGTCAATAGAAATAATAGATAAATAAACCTTTGGAACTACCGATTTTATTCCTCCTGTCAACGCAATTGCTTCTGCAGCAAAGTTATCGACAAATAAAATAGTTCCGTTTTGAACATTTTTCGATGATAATGGAGAATAAGTCATTTGATTTTTTTTCGGCTAATATCGGCGTGAATTCATTAACCTTAATTTTTTATCATGATATTCATTTTCGTATAATCTTAGTGGTAGAGATTATTTCCATTGTGGATAATGTACCTTAACTGAAAATATAGCTTGCGAGAGCTTAATAACTCTAATCAACGTAGAAATCTGGGATTATTTCTAATGGATTTTGTTAGTTAGAGTTATTAAGCTCTTGCAAAAAGCGCCAATATATTAGAGATATGCGATTGTATTTTATTGATATTTTATTGTGTTTTGGAAAGAGTAAAGTCCAAATATATTACTATTATGATATCAATATTGTTATACATCAATTTGATTTTATTGAAGATTTGAAGAGTGTTTTAAGGCCAGTATGACATTGGCTTCAATTTCTGATCCTTAACGTTATTTTTATATTACGCTTCATGCCAGTTATCAGAAGTTTGAATTGATGTCAGATGGGCGTAATGGCATCCTTTAAAAAATTAATCATGTTTATAATATAATTAAAGCATAATATTTTACAATAAAAATAAGTTATTTCTTAGATAAGTTTTGTTCGACTTTTGCGTCAATCTCTTGCCACATTTCCATCATTTCATGGTCATGGTAAATGAATATTTCAGTTAGAAGAGGATACTTAAAGTCCCTCATCTTGCAACCTTCTGTCTTACAAATAAGCTTGTGAATACTCTTGCAAGCATCTTTGAACTGCAAAAGGATTTCTTGGTCAATTGGAGGATCAGGGGATGAATAATCTTGAGTCATGTCTGTTTCTATTGATAGCTCATGGATCACTGGTTTCCTCATGAGCTCGTCCACAAAGATTTTAACATCCCTTGGAGTGATGGCTCCGTCCAAACAGAGTGATTCAATTTCAACTCCTTGAATCAAGACTTGTGAGAGGATTTGGAAGACACCGTGGACAGAGAATGGGTTTTTGTCTTCACTGACAACTGAAAATGATAATTCTTTTGGACAACATTCAGGTTTGACGTCTGCGAAAAATGACAAGAAATTTGTTAGTCCTATTTCAGAAAGCCTTGTCTTTTCTAGACGCATATCTCTTAGTTTGCATGAGGAACACATTTGTATAAGTTGTTCCACTATATCGTCTCCAAAATTATTTGATGATAAATCTAGAATGTCAATGTTAAGATTTCTCATGCCCATGAGCATCTTACTTGCACACTGATCATTAAGAGATACCGCGGAAATGTCCATACTCTTCAGTGTAAAATTCTTATATTTTGTTGCGGCAAAAAGAGGTCCGAAATTACGTGCGGCCTCTGGACTTGTCACAGCTTCATTCCATTTGAGCATATCTGTGGGAGAGAGGAGCTCAAAGTTCGGGAATTTGGCTACCCAGCAATTTCCAGTTCGACCAAAATCTTGAATTGATAGAGTAACATCACGATCGAGGGTACTGAATGCGCTGGCCATAGACATTATTTGTCCTGGATCAAGATAACCGATTCTAACATCAACCAAACTCTGAGAAATTTGAATTATATTGCATAATTGTTCAAAATAGTCCGGCTGAGTAAAAATCTTATCATGAATTTTAGGCCATGAAACAGGGAGTATATTTTGATCAAAGCCATCCATGATAAGTATCTTTAAGTTCGAATTTACAATTTTATCTAAAAATGGTGGAAGTTGATGGATTCGAATTTTGCATCCTGAGATTGCGAGTTCTTCAAATTGTTGGTTTTTAGCAATGTAAGCTGTTACAACCTCAAGATCAACTGTATTATACGAAATATCTAAAGATTTGACGCGAGGAACGCATGCGATTTCGTTTATGATTGCATTTGTTCCTTCAAGCCATATCTCATTGTCTGCTACTGATAAGTATTGAAATGTAGAATTTCGTATTGATTTGGCAATTGCGCACGCGCCTGGGTCAAATAGGTTGTTGGATTCTATTCTGAAATGAATTAAGTGTGTAAGTGATGGTAAAGACTGAGCAATAGCAACTCCTCCTTCACTTGCAATATTACAGCCGTTCAAACTTAATACTTCAAGGGGTGGATTTTTCTGTAATGACTTCGCAAGAATTTCACATGCTTCTTGTGGTAAAATATTGCCGTCTACGTAAAATTCGATTAAATTTGAATTTCCTATGGCTTCGAATATAACTTTTGATGCACGAACGGTTAAATGACAGTTAATTAAAGACAATCCAATTAAAGAAGAGTCTTTTCTACCTATATATTTTGAAAGATATTCTGCACATTCTAAACTAACGTGGTTTGTGCTCAAGTCCAAATAGGTGACTTTATCTGTAAGCTTTTCCTTTACGAATGACAATGTCATTGCGTTCCACATCTGCATTCCTGAAGCGTCAACAACATTATCATTCATTTTTTTGTTCCTTTCCTCAGACAACGATGCTCATTCTAGCCAAATTATGCAAACTATATGTTTAATTTGAATGTAAACTATGCAATAAAACGGCTTATGGCCTATCTATGATTAGAATTTCTGATTTTTCAAAAATCAAGATTAAATTTGCATTTAGATTGGAAAGTATAGTGGTGATATCATAGTCTCAACTATGTGTTATTTGATTCTCTAATTCAAATCATAAGTTTCGTTGAAATAAATTGAAAAAAAAATATTAAAAAGAAAAGTTTAACAAACAATGAATAAAACATAAAAGCATTACAAGAAAATTAGTGGTATTTTGTTTTTCGTGTGAACATTTTGTCTTTTAAAAAAAATTATAAAATATTGCGAAATAAGATGAAGATTACTGAAGGAATTAACATTAATTGTTCGGCATAATGAGAAAATCCATGGATAACGATATTAAAAAATAGCACGCAACTTCATTTGGAGAAAAAAATTGAAAAATAACGGTATAGACATAATATCGCTATTTGATAAGAATTTGGATTAAAGCTTTTAGCAAGACGTAAAATGCTCCAAGACCCAAGGCCCAGTAAGTACTGATTGTATCGTTAAGATCGTTGATACTTGCGGCGTATGTTAATGTAATAATAAGTGATGTAAATAACGAATAGAAAAATCCGGAAACAAACGTATAAAGAAAGAGCGCGATCACGAATATTACTCCAGACCACTTTTTAATCCTGATTGCAATGATAATTCCGGAAATTAAATGTATAAAAGCTGCAAATGTAGCTGATAATGCTGTCATTTTGAACCATTGTGCAACATCGAATGCCATTTTTTATTTTTGTCACATTTTTTTGTTTCTGCTAGAAATAGGAATTTCCTATTTTATTAAAGGCCATTTGTATAAATTTTGCAATATTGATATTTTAAAGCATCGCGGTGCATGTCTTCAATTTTTTTATTAATATTGATACTATAAGGATGAGAGATGGAATTATATGCTTACGCGCTCAGATAAAAGTATCTATTCTATTATAGAAGGAAAAAAACGGTTCAATAAATTAAAATCTTTTATTAGCATAAAAATATGTATATCTTTACCTAAATTGGTTCTCAAACTCATCTATCTTGGAATTTAATTCGTTCGTAAGGTTCAACAAATTAGAAAGGAATCTAATCTGTTGATTTGTCCAATTTGAAAGTTCTCTGAGCTCCAAATCTATCATCTCTATTGGATCTCCAGATGTAGTAATCTTTGCGACTGGTTTTTCTTCAAATACTGGCTGTGGCTTAGGTTGTACTGCAATAGGTTTTGGAGATGGAGTAAACTTTGGAGAATTAATGATTGGTGCTTGGGAAGAAGTTGTATCGTTTTGCCTGAACAATGATGTAGAGGATCCAAAGCTAAATGGACGCTTTTGCTGTGGTACAGCGCTGGATAATTGGAAGAAGTTCATTCGAAATTCATTCATGTGCATCACGACGATTATTTCCTCTCAATTTTCACATCATAGTTCTAGAGGTTCAAAATAAAAACACTTTATTTAAAAGCAACAAAAATAACTAATATAAACTTTTGAAGGCTGAAAATGTAATCAAAAAAATATAATAATCTTCAATTAAAAAATTTGATAAATATTGTAAGCCTAATATAATATATAGATCATAATCTTCTATAATCTTAAAAGAAATCCTTATACCATTCACGCGATTTCCATTCGTAACCAACCATTCCATAAAGCCATGGTGTATAGAAGATCCAGAGGACAAATGCAAAGAATATCATGAGGGAGAATAAACAAGATGATATTATTCTGCAATTTTGGAATAAAATATCAATACTTGTTGAAAAACAAAAAACTCCGAACATAAGAGGCACCAGATAATGGTATACAAATAAGGATCCTGGAATTAATGCAAATGGAAGCCAACTGGCGAAATATCCGCATGGCCAAATCGAGATCCAGAGTAAATTCCACTTTCCTGTTACAAATGCCCAAATACTTATAATAAGGGAAGCAAATGCTCCCAATGCTGCTGAATACCAAACTAAAAAGTTTGGTGTAAGGACTAAACTCATCCAATTTGCAGTGTAATATGGGATTGACTTCATTCTGCATAGCGGCCAGTCATACCAATTGGATTGTGCGCTATGTGGTGATGTAATTCTCATGTTATAGTGGTGCATGAAGCGATATAATTTTACAACTCTTCGAATTAACGAAGTTTTGTTAACATGGTCAGTAAAATCTGGATAACTCGTCTTATCAATGACCGTTCCTTGGAAAATATCTGGCATAGCTTGATTTCCTGGCCCTTTATAAACACAAATTATTACATGAACACAAAACAAAGAAAATGTGGTAAAAATACCAGTAAAAATGATAATAAATAATCGTAAAATATATCTTGCTGGTAAATTATTCTTGTAAAATTCTTTTGATTTTAGATTTTTCTTATTAAAATCGCTTGGATTGAATTCTGTGAATATTCTAAGCACATTTCCACCTGTAACATACAATAATTGTTGTAATGCCGCAAAAGCATAAATGCTTAAGGCAGTTAATTTAACAGAACTACAGCAGCCGCATCCAATACCTGCAAATATCAAAGCAATGTATGATTCAGGATGTGCATGTAATAGTGCAATCAAAAATACTGCTAGCATAACAAAAGAGTGTAAAATTCCATCAGTCAGAATTAATCTTCCTTCGACGATTAACATGAAATCAACTGCAAGATAAAATCCTGTAAAAAGTGAGGCAATGTATGAAAAACCAAATAATCTCATGGTAACAAATCCATATGGAGCAACTAAAGAAGAAAATGACGCAGAAGTCATACGTAATGTAATATAATACTTTTCTGTGTATGATGATATTGCTCTTTCGTAATTTGTCGTTGCAGGATCCAATGATAATTTGGCGAATAACGCAAATATAAGTTTTCCAAGAGGAGGGTGAATATCAAAGAAATATTCATTTCGTAAGTAGTAATTTGTGAAGTTTCCAAAGTAAATTTCATCGAAAATTCTTGCTTCTGGATATTGAATTCTAAAATTTCTTGAAAGAAAACCAAAAAACATAAGAAGTAATAATGTTACTGCATCTAGAAGAGTTAATTTTGTATTTGCAGCTGGATGCTCCAATCCTTGAAAAAAGGATAGAAGCCATCGAAGTTTCTTCATAAATATCATATAATCAAGAATGAATATTTCATAAATCTAAACTATGCAGGCATGCAGTTCGCAATTTGTTTTGCCTTTAGAATAAACCTATCTTGATATATTATCATTTTTTAAATTATTTTAAATATATCTATTATATCTTCATAGCTAAGTTAGTGGTTCTATATGTGTTATTGTTTTCAAGTTTGACAAAATAAAATTAAAATTATATTTATAATAATAAAATTTGCTTAAACATAACCAAGAGCTTTCTTATACTTAAGTTCTTCATCAGGAGTGACATTATCAGCTGCCCAGAAGCCACTATCTCCACGAACTTTAAATGATTTCTTCTTCTTTTCAAACATCGAATTTAAGTCACATGACTTTTCAAAACCTACAAAGATTGTATCAGGATCAACTTTCTTCTGTTTTTCAAGTTCCTGAAGTAGATTTTGAGCTCTTGCCCAGGTAGGAATCTCTTGCTCTCGAATGGTTTCAGCATCATCGACATAATATTCTTCACAATCGCTGCTATCTTCTTCACTGTAATCTGTATCAGATATTCTATATTGTGGTTCTGCTTTTGGTGGTTTCTTACCTGCCAAATAAGATGAACCACAAGAATCGTCATTTTCTGGTTGAAGATTGAACTGGACCTTAGACGGTGAAGCACATTTTTGTTCCGTTGTTGAATTCTCTATTGATGCGAGCAAATCATCAATTTGATTTGTTGGTTTATTGGTGCTGTTGGATTGATTTGCTTGATAAGAGGAGGAGCTGAGTAAAGATTGCATCCAATTAAGTTGAGCATCTACCTCGACTTCGACTTTTGAGCACATTTTTCGGACTTTTGATAAATTCAATCTCGATTGAGATTCAATTGAAATTCTTCATGATGCCCATAAAATGTAAGTTAATAAAGAAGTAAAATTATCAAAAAAAACTATAAAACGCATAAAATTCCGGACGTTTATTTGGGCAGAAATGAGCATTATTGAATTTGCACAAAGAGAATATAATGATATGAAGTGTTAGAGCGAGATATAAGAATTAAACAAAGAAAACCTCAATATTTCTTTTCAAATTAATCATCAATTGCATTCTAGAACCGAATATAGAAGGGAGTAAAGCTAGTTTATGAATATAAGGGTATATTACATCTAAATATCGTTATTCAGAGAAAAAATAAAGTTGTCAAATTGAATTTCCTTGAATTCTCTTGATATGGTAAACTTATACATAAATGACATCTATAAATGTGTGTTTTATGATATGAAATGAGGATAAAATGTTTGTTTGCTTATCAGCATTCGTGGCCTCAGAAGCTTACCCTTTAATTTTGAGCGCCAAGCCTGGAGTCAAAGTTTCCTCTCCTTCTGATTTGATGACTCTTGGTGCTCTTGGTGATAAACACTGCTGCTTCGTAATCGAAAGATTTCCAAAGCCTCCAATGAAATCAGTTTGGGATCTCGGCAACTTTGCTAACGCAATGACAGTTTGCGAAAAGAAGGGAACACTTAAAACTTTCAACAATGTTGATTCCAACCAAGTTAACTTTTTGGAGCAACTCGAAAATCACTACAGCAAAAAGTTGACACTTATTTCATATGATGAATGCACATGCAAAGCCGAAAAATTCCAAGAAGGACTCATTGTTGTCCGTGTTACAGAAGATGATACATACATTGTCGAGGAAGTTCTTGGAAAGCTTCCAGAAGATGTAACTGTTTCATTTATTGCTACGACTGAAAATCTATTCAGAAAGAAATAAATTAGTTTTGTTTATTTCTGAATACAATTGCTCCATTAAAACATACGCTAATTATTAAAAACTCATTCAGTTTACGTTTAATTCATCTTTGTTAAATTATTGTTTCTGAATAAAATCAATTTTATGAAACTTTAGTAAATGATATTCATTTCAGGCGTTGAACAAGCGAACAACGTTCATTTGGGAAAATTATGTATATATTTCATAGGGATAACCCATCAAAAAAATTAATGATTGTATCTCCATCCGTACAGAGTTTTGCAGTCATGCCTTCAATGAAGGACTATGCAAAATCTACAAAGGCGCATGAATATTTAAGACAGAATCAGCACTATTTGAACCTACTTATTAATACGGATAATATTCATATTCCTCAAAAGACAAATTTCATGCTTAAAATCACTATCGATGGTATTAACACAGCCGATGGTATCCTTGATTTCTTTTTCAATTGGAATATTTTAGATGTCCTTGAAATTAAACCCGCTAATATGCCAAACTATTTCCATATTTATGTTAGAAGCCCATCGTCAGCTTGTGTTATATCTAAATTACCAGGAGTTAAAGTACTGATTTCAGATATCATTCCTCCATGTGAAATGGTTCCTCTAGTTTATGTTCAAGGTATTCCAAAGGATGAGACTGATGATAATATTAGATCTTTCTTCAAAGGAATTTCGCCAATATTAACAATTTACCGAATTATCAGAGAAAACTTCTACGGCTTCATTCTAGAAACCACAAGTACTAAAGCTGCAATAAATCTTGCTGAAAAGTCTAATAACGAGAAGTATGGACTCTCAAAACTCTCTGTTTCAATTCAATATCATAATTCAGTTACAAACTCATTTTTCATCAATTCATTGACTGCCGCATATCCAATTGAAGTTGCTAGATATGAAATCGCAAAGTTTGGACCAATAAAATATATCAGTAACGCTACTGTTTCAGGCCTTCCTTCAATCATTGTGAAAATGGAAAAAATAGAAGATGCTAGACTTGCTTGTGGTTTTCTTAATAATACCACATATCTATCTAACACACTTAACTCAATATTTATTGAAGAAAATCATTTTGACCTTTTATATAATAGATTTTATTCAGTTTAACTTATAAATTGTTTGTTTTATGTATTTTGATTATTTGATATCTATGGATCCTTAAAATATCTCAATTTCTAGAATATATCTATAAAATTCATTAATATGATTAGAAAGTAATGTATTATACAATAAGACATAGTACATTGGAGTGGTTGATGATAAATCAAACATATGTTTTGTGTGAATTTATTGTTTTCATTTATCGATAGAATTCATTAAAGAAGACAGCACCCACACTTTTGAATTATCATCAGTCCAGTTCTAATTCTCATTCACAAACATTTTTAATAATTGAACTAACGAATCTTGAAAATTGTTGAGGATTCGATGATGAAAAACTCATTTTAAACTTGAAATTATGCGGATTATGATCTTCTATACATCTACTTTCAGCCTGGAAATGATTAAATGTCAATTTCATACAAAAACCATACGAAGAGTAAAAAAAAAAGTCAAAAAAATTTTTTAGACGCATTTTTTCTAAATACTGTGAGATTTTTGATAAGTGTAAAGTTGTTAAAAACAATTAAGGTTATTTTATTATGTTTTTAGCTAGTTTAGTAGCTATACGCTTTGCTGGTCATTATATAGGAAGCTTTATAGACATGGATGAAAATGAAACTCGTTTTGAAGCTGTTTTTACAGATAATGGCCACAAATCTATCGGAACAATTCAATCGACATATTATTCTAACTACCTTCCAAAGAAAGTGATGCTCGAGAAAGTCTCTGATTTTGATGACTATGATCTTTCATTTGAAACTGATGGAACTTATAAGAAGATCGCAAAATTAGAATTCAACTTAACAGGCAAAGATGAATACATATGCTCATCATTAACAGATGATATGAGTCATGATGTGAATGGTTTAATTTCACCAAAATCGATCGAATTTTTAGTATTACGCCATGATGACCAGCTATGGTTCAAGTATGACTTGCGCCAAAAGCCATCAATGTTTTCAAATCCAATAGTTAAGGTTGTTATTGGAGTAATTATTTACATGATAATTGGAATTGCTTTGATCTTCAAATTCTCGAGGAAATCGAAGAAGGTATCCAAGAAAGAATATTGAATTCTGGAATAGTGATCACTACTTTAACTCATATGTTCTTGTTTGTTTATAGAGTGCCCGAAAAAAGTTGTGGACGGTGAAATAAGTTGTATGCGGGGATTTCTTATTGCAAAATGGTTAAAAACAGCATAAAGAATCATTTTGCATGCAAAATTCATGTTTTAGCAAAAACATTCAATATCATATTACGAATTGACAGAAATTTATTTAAATACTAATAAAACTTGTTTGTTTCATTAATTTAACTTATGATTAATCTTTATGCATTGTACATATCGTTTAAAATAGGAATAAAAAAATAAAAATTTAATTTTTGATTTTCTATAGGTAGAATTGTATCATCTTCCTGTGTATATATCTTCCAAATATATTTTAGTCCTTGTACAAAGACTCCATGCGGTTTTTAAGCTTGGAAAAAGTGTGCATTTGCATGAATAGTATGGGATACATAATCATTCAACATTTGCATATACAACAACTTTGGATACATTTGCATCAGGATTGGAAGAGTGAATTGTAGAGGTCTTGCAATCTTTGGAATGAGTTAAAGATTCCTATAATTCATCGAATTAAGCTTAAACATCATTATCAATGAAGTAACCGAAAGTTAATTATAATGATGCTGGTGCTGCTCAATCACAGAACTAGACACAGAAGAAAAATGAAAAAAAAAACGATTAAATAAGACTGAAAATTTAATCATCTCAGAAAAACTGAATTCATTTAACTTTATATTCTTAAATTGTACCATGGGAGTATTGTAAATATATTTTGAAAAACATGACATTGCTTGCAAATTTTTTCAGAAACATAATAAAGTGAAATGTCGCTAGTTCGAGGATATATATCATTTACCATTCTATGTTTCTGCTATGGTACATCCTACGCTGTTACATCTCTTTTGATCGGAAAAGTTAATGATTCTGCCTTTGCATTGGCAAGGTCATTTGCAGCAGCCCTCGCCGCGACAGGTTACTTGTTTTTCAAACTTAGAGATCCACAATATAAGCAAAAAGCATTGCAATCACTTAGATCAGGTGAAACAAATTTCTTTCTGAGTTTCTGTGGAGGAATTTTCTTCTTAGGTATTCCAATTACTCTAATCATTATTGCTCAAAACAAAGTTCCTTCATTCATTGTTATCATTTCACAGCCAACTGTTCCGTTTTTCTCAATGATTGCTGCCCATTTTATGACATCTGACGAAAAAATCAATTTTCATAATTTGTTAGTTCAATTATGCGCTATATTTGGCGCAGTCTTAACTCTTGTGCCTTCATTATCATTTAGTGGTGATAATTCCGAGTCAGATCCGTTTTCATATATTTTACTATTAATAGCTTTAATCTTATTCAGCATAGGATCGATTTACATCAAAATTTACCTAGCAAGCTCCGATTTCACTCTCTCATGCACATTTTCGACATATGGCGCCTTTTGCTACTCCGCACTGTCTGCTTTTTACAGAGCTGGATTTGTTGAAGTTTTCAAAGGAATTGGGAATATGTTTCCGTTTACAATTATTGCAGTTTTCATTATTGGTGTAATTTACAATGGAATTCCAACATTCTTATTCATGGATGTTGTTATGACATTAGGTGCTGTTAAAGCTCAATTAACTAACTTTGGACAGATTATTATTGGTGTTTTTGTCGGAGTTACGTTTTTGGGCGAATGGGATGGATATGCTCCAAGAGATGTCCAAATTGTATGTTGCGGTTTAGTTTTCATCATTGCTGCAATGGTTGCAGACCTTCTTTCGCAAGTTCAGAAAAATCAATTAGTTTGTGAGATTAATTACTTGGCATTAGTGATAATGATTGTATTTACAATGGGTGCTCAACTTGCTTATGCTTATTATTACTACCCAGCTGGTAGAGTTAATGTACTTGTAAGAACTAAATAAATTGTTAATTTATTTATCATTTATTAATTATTTAAGAGTTATTTACTTAATACAAAACCCTCAATACAGAAAAATTGTCTGATTCAATTCAATTTCTGATATCTTCTGCCCAAATTCATGTTTTCTAGCATACAACATGCTAATTTTCCAGAGCTACTTAATAAAATATTTAATAGAATGAACTGTTGGTAATAGTAGGCTTTAAATTGAAAATTCAATTCTTAAAAAATATGCATATAGTCAATAATCAATACTTAACTTACTATAAATTTCGTTTTAACTCCAAATGTATTAAGAATACAGTCAAATCTATATACTATAGTTAATATTTACTGCTCATTGTAACGGAATGAAGCATCTTAGTATTAATAGGTTCCTTAGGTACCAAGGAACCTAATTGTGCTAATATGAAGTTACAGATTAGTTCCTTTGAACAGAGAGATAAATTAATTTTAATTAAAAAGTGACAATGAGCGAAAATCCTTTTTCCTCTTTATCGAGGGAAACATTAGAAAAGCAGCTCATTAATAACTTAAAACATATTAAATCTCTAAAAAAGCAGATTGATGAAGGAATTCAATCCGTTGAACAATTAGAACAGAAGAATAAAGAATTAATAGAAAATAACAACAAATTAGTGGATAAAATTGCCATATTAGAAGATGAGAATGAAAAATTGAAGCAAAGGAATGCTGCTTCTGGAATTGCAAACATTGGTAAAACAATCACTTCAATTATTACACAGAAAAAGAGTGAATTAACAATATCATCAAAATTAGATATTACTAACTTAGTTCCTCATATGTATGAAGAATCAGAATCTGATTCTCCACAAATAAAAGCTTTGAAAATCGAAATTGACTCTTTAAATCAAAAAATCAAGAATTTAAATCAAAATGAAGCATCAATTCGTCAATTTTCCGATGTTTTACAGTCGAAACTTGAAGTTTCAGAAATGGCCAAATCATCTTTAACAGAAAAGTGCAATCTATTGCAGAAATCACTTGATAACGCAAATTCTGAGACAAGTGAGATAAATAAACTGTATCAAACTACTATGGCTTCATTATCTTCATTACAAAAAGAATATCAACAGTACAGACAAAAATCAACAGATATGGAGACACAAATGCCTGCTTTACTTACAGCCCAACAAGATCTGAAAGCTGCAATTGAGAACAGAGACACTGCAAACGCGCAATACGAACATTTGAAGGAAGAAATCATTTCTCTTCGTGTCCAAGCTGAAGAAAATGCAAGACAAGTTGATCAGTATAAAGAAGGACTCAAGAAATCAATGAGAAACGATAAAGAAAAAGATGATATAATTCAGAAGTACAAACAGAAGCTTGAAGACGCTGAATTAGAGAAAACAGAGCTACTTAAACAGATTGAAATATATAAAGATATTCAAACAGACCATGAAAAGCAAGAAAAAGTATTAAAAGACCAAATTTCTGAAATTCAAAAGCGAATTGATAGTGGAAAGGCATCAGAAGAGACAGAAAATAAAGTAAAGAAGATGAATAGGATGCTTGAGAAATCAAATATGCTTTATGCAGAGCTACAAGAAAAATATGACAAAAATGAGACAAGAGTTCGAGAATTAGAGAAGCAATTACATAAAGCAAGAATACCTGGAATTCCTTTCGTTAAGTTTGTTGGTCCAAAAGCAACTTTTGTCCTTTATGATAATGGAATTTTTCAGGAAAACACAGAAGCTCCATCAGTTCAGTCATTCGTGTTTGGATATGCTAATAAGAGTGATAAATCTGTTCAAGTTTCAGGTGAAGAACAGGCTTCTTACTCAGAACAGCTAATGCGACAATACTTTTTAGCAAATGATGATACCCGTAAAAGCATTATTCCTATTATAATGCAAATACTCGGATTTAATGAAAGTCAAATAAGAGCAGAAACAAATAAGCTCAGAGGCGGATTTAAATTGTTTTAATGAATAAAGTGTAGTAATAGATATTTATAGAAGCAATTCTGAATTTGTGTTTGCTATGTTTAATACTGAAACCATGACAAATAATAAAAAAAAATATTGTAATTTCAATTTGGTTCTATCTCATGAAAAAGAATGAAGTACCTTGATTATATGCAAATTTTGCTTATAAATGAAATCACTTCTTATGGGATATAAAATTTGCAGTTATTTAGGATTTCCCTTGCAATTTATTGAAAATCTATTTTGTACCCAATCATATTACATTGAGATTAGTAAGGTTGTCATGATTACCCTAATGTATCTGTTTCATGATGTGGAATTTGAATTCAAAAATGATATAAGAAATGCGAATTTGGAGAAAATATTCCACAGATTTTTGAGATTTAATCAAATACATTATAAATAGTATAAAATGAAATCTCTGGGATATAATAATAAACGGTTACATTGTGAATGGCGTTTCCGATTCCGCATTTTGAGGAACCGGAAGAGCCTCACACCCCTCCTCGAAATGGCTCTTCAAAGAGTGGGGACTTGCCATTTTGTATGAACCCAATTCATAATTATTCCGTCCCAACTCACAATAATTTATTTTATGACCCCTCAAAACCATTATATAGCACGCCAAATGAATCATGTACAATATATGTTGCTCAGAGTGCTGCAAAGTCTAGGCTTTATGCCTTAAAATCATCGAAATATATAAAAAGAATTCGTCATGAAGCAGAAATGTACAAAACTATCGGACACTGTAAAACAGTAATGAAGTATTATGACACATGGGTGCAAGGTGGTAAAGGCTTTATTCAAATGGAGCTAGCAACAAACGGTAGCTTGAAAAATGAATATAAAGATTTAAATGTCAAACAAATTTGGCAAATTATCGCTCACATTTCATCAGCTCTATCATTCGTGCATTCTAAAGGATATATGCATCTTGATGTATCCCCTTCGAATATTTTACATACAGAAAGTTCAAAATTTGGCACAATTTATAAATTATCCGATTTTGGAACTATTCGGGCCCTTGGAACTTTCCAAGAAGATGATGAAGGAGCCGGACCTTACGTATCTCCTGAAGCTTTAGCTTTCCCTCATACAGAATATGAGGTTGGCACTAAAACAGATATATTCAGTTTTGGTGTCGTCCTTTATGAACTTATAACGAGAAAACCTGCACCTAGAGAATATCCAGACTACGAAAATTTGAGAAATGGAACATTTAAATTTCCAAAAATTCCACCGGAATTTAGTTTCGTTACAAAAATGTTAAACGTTAATCCTAACGTGCGCCCTACTGCTGAATGGATTTCTTCCCTCGATAAATGTAAAGAAATATTGAATAAAATCCAATCAGCCGAAGAAAGCCCAGTTGTTAAATCGAAACGAGAAGTCGCAACACCAAAAATATCCAATGCAAAAGTTCCGCCAGAAACACCTTATTCAAAGAAATATTCTGGCAGAAAGATTATGTTCGATGACGAAGATTTCTCCAAGGAAATTGACCTCTAGATTGTTTGTATTATTGACATCGAATTTTATGTTGTTTTTGTTATATTTGTTTGTATTTTTTTAGATTTTTGTTGATTTCATTTGTTCTATGTAAAAATCTGTATTTGTATTTTTCGTTAATTTATATTTGAACTTTTAAATCTTCATATTATTAGCTATTAAATGAAATGTATATATTTCACTGAATAAATCAGAAAATATCCGATATACCTTATTTCAAAGCAAATCCTCTATTTATGGGCATAGAATCTGAACTAAAATTGATTCAGATTCAAAACTTTTGAAATATTCCAGTCGGAGCATCAAGCTTATCTCTTGTAATGAATATCTTCAATCCTTTGTTATTTATTCCTTCAACCAAGCGGATTATAAAAATTTGGTCGAAGGATCCACAAATTTTTAAAAACTCGATAAAAAATATTTGTAGTCATGTGAGCATCAAATATCATTTCCAATTTCGTTGTCAAATTATTGAATACTATCTGACACTTTTCAATCTCGTTATATGAATTTGAAATCGAAAACTCCACGACTATATCTTTCGAAACCATCCAAAAGCCAGGTTATCTTCGTGCCCAATCTTCTTAAAACTAAAAGATCTATACCTTTAACATCAAGTGAATTTAATTTACACCCAAAACAAGAACTTTCCCAAGAACAATTCATCAGCAAACTTACAGAACAACTTGATGAAGCTGACTCACATAACCTTACACAAGAAGAAAGATTCAAAGTCCATCAAAATTTTTTTAATAAACTAATAGATCGATTTGAAGTTAAAAATAAACCATTTACTAAAATAAAACAAGGATACGAAGCCATTCTTAATAGTTTGCGCGAACAAGGCACTAAAACGATAACAGTTAATAATGAAACTCAAGAATACGATGATAACTTCAAAGATGAAATCAAAAATTTGCAGGAAAAACTTGTAACTAAACGAGAAAAATACAAAACTCTACTAGCTTCATTAAATAAGTTAATTGCGGACATTTCATCAGAAAATCAGACTCATATGAGAGATATTGACACATACAAAGATGCAAATGCCAACTTGGAAATTAGAAAACTCAATGCTGAAGCAACTTATGCTGATCTTAAAGCAAGATATCAAAAGAAACTAGCCAAATATGATAAAACTCTCAAGTACCAACGTGATGCAACAGATAAAACAAAGTCTCTGGAAGTTGAAATTGCAAATCAAATTAATAACCTTGCATTCTTGATATCTGATTGCGAAAATACTAACCACGAGATAGGAAACATTGATGTTGAAGTCGAAAACATTAATTCTCAAATATCTCAGACTGATGAAGAATATAAAAAGTTATCAAGGACAATAGAAGAGAAAGAAGAGTATGCAAAGCAATTAGAAAACGAAATTACGGAATTGAACGATCAAATACAAAATTCTCGCTCATTTGATGAAAATTTGATGTCTCAGCTTTATCCAGTAGCAAAATCACTAAGGCTTGCAGCAAGATCCATATCTAAGATGAATAATCCTACAGAACTTCTTGAACTTTGTATCAACAAGTTCAGAGAAATTGAGAACGAAAATAATGAAGATCCAGCAGAAACAGAAGAACCAATAGAATAAGAATTATTTGTATTTCGCCACTTTTCTATTAATAATAAATATTATTGTTTGTTTTTTCGGAAATGAAAAGAATTTTTTTTATTTTTCAAAGATAAATTGATTAAAATATGATTCTTAATATTAGTATGTCATTACTATATGTTTCTTTAAATCTACTCCATAAATAATGACAAAACTAATTGAACAATGAAAGATTAATCAAGAAGATAAAGATATCAGAGAAGAAAAGTTAACAGAAAACATTATTTGTGATAGAGATGATTTCATTCAGATTCTTTCAACGTAGAAAAAAAAAACAATGACTCTAATTCAAACAAATAAAGTACTCACAAAATCTAGATTGAGAGGCTGTCAATGACTTTTGAGGGGAAATTAACGCATGGAATTTAATATTATTTAGGTTGATATGCTTGCCTATTATTTCAGAAAAAAATCTTAAAAATTTCAATATGAAAATTGAAAGCAATTCAAAAAAAAATGCTTACATGTAAATTTTAATATCATATGCATAATTTCATATTTTGAACATTTTTTATTTTTGTTTAAAACTTAAAATTTTGGGAATTTAATATAATTAATATAATATAATATGTATATATATTTAAAATGCACTAAATTTAATTGTTAATTGACGTTTTTGAGAATGAATTTTATCAAAACATGCCTGAATCCGAAAATTTGAAAGAACGAATTACACAATCATATATGTAGAATTCAAAATACAAACTTAAAGATTGTATACGTTTAAAATTATTCAGATTGTGTTTGATTTCCACTCATTCTGTTTCTTTTGAACTCTAACACTAACATTTCATGGTTATTACATGATCCATTTATCCATGGTTGAATTGTTCCAGATTCTACCAGAAAATCAATCCCCATTTCTCAAAGCATTCATGTTGATTGGACAAAGTTTAAAATTTATAAGCCAGTTTCCAGAGAAACTCATATATTCCCTAATGAAATGTAATTTTTGCTACATTTTTTTCAATCAAATTTCAAAAAATTGACTGCAGAGCTTGAAAAGGTGATGAATCATGTTGTTATTAGATGTACGTATTAGATTTACTATTTCCAAAAAAATGCTCAAATTTGAATACTTTTTAGAAAATTTGGAATTACACTCCTTACATTATATATAATTAAATGTTTAAATTTTATTTATTTTTCCTTTCAATTTTATAACGTGCTCTATCAAAACTAACCTCTCAATTGAAGGCCACAAAATCTAAGTAGTGAGGGTACACAAATTTTGTATGGAGTACGGTTCAATTTTTGAGAGCCACACTACTTAGATTTTGTGACTACCTTAGAACCACAATGAATAACGTGAATGAGTAGGGTAAATGATATTAAAATGATGGTTTTGAATACTGCTTCATTTGTTGATAATTTAAGGCGTTCAAATGAGATGGATAAAAAAATTGGAACCGAAGACCAACTATAAAATATTTTATCTTAGAAAATCATTTATTCATCTAATGAGTAGTTGATTTAACTAAAGTAAAAAAAGGGCATCACTTCATTTCACATTGAGTTCTCCATTTGTAAACTTGGGAAAATTGAATTCAATTTTAGGAGAAAAAAATTAAAAAGCTTTACATCATATTGAATAATATAATTTTCAACTTTTCAGGTGATATTATTCACAAAACGATGATAACCCATTCAATTATTTTGTAATGTTGTCATCAGCGGCACGCTCCATTGCTTCCCTGAAGTCACGCTGCGCCTACGCACCATACCTCAGCAAAGTCTGCAAGCCAGAGGATACAGTCAAGTTCTTCAAGGACGGAATGAACGTTGGTTGGTCTGGTTTTACACCAGTAGGTGACGCCAAGGTTGTTCCAATTGCTCTTTCCGAGTATGTCGAGAAGAACCACCTTCAAGGCAAGCTCCGCTTCAATCTTTTCTGCGGTGGCTCCACAGGCAGCAAGAATGAGGACCGTTGGGCCAAGAATAACATGATCAGCAGGCGTTATCCATACCAAAGTGGCAAAAACCACAGGAAGTTGATCAACAAGGGCATCTCCCTTATGGCTGATAAGCATATCTCCATGTTCCCACAAGATCTCTTCTACGGATTTTACACAAAGTCCCGTGGAGGTGGTCTCGACATCGCTATCATCGAAGCCACAGAAATTCTTGAGGATGGTTCCCTCGTTCTTGGTGCTTCCGTTGGCTCTACAACTGAAATCTCTCAGATCGCCGACAAGATCATCATCGAACTGAACACTGCTATCCCATCCTTCAAGGGCTGTCACGATATCGTCTATGGCTGCAAGCCACCGTACAAGCCACTCAACATCACCTCCCCAGGCTCAAGAATTGGTGAAATTTCCATCAAGATCGACCCATCCAAGGTCATTGCTGTCGTAGAATCCAACCTCAGCTTCCCAGGTCTTCCAATTGCTGGCCCAGATGCTACAGCTACAGCAATTGCAGGACATATTGTTGATTTCTTCCAGAACGAAGTTAAGCAAGGCCGCCTTCCAGAGAACCTTTATCCATTACAGTCTGGTGTCGGCAACATCGCCAACGCCGTTCTTCATGGCCTCAACAACTCTCCATTCAACAATCTCGCTGTTTACACAGAAGTTCTTCAGGATGCCATGCTTCCAATGCTCGACACAGGCAAGCTCACATTCGCTTCTGCTTCAGCTCTTACTCTTGCTCAATACGACAAGCTTTATCAGAATTTCGATTTCTACAAGGACAAATTCATCCTTCGTCCACAAGCAATTACAAACGCACCAGAAGTTGTTCGTCGCCTCGGTGTCATCGGCATGAATACACCTGTCGAAGTCGACATGTACGGACATGCCAACTCAACACACATCAACGGCACACAAATGATCAACGGCATTGGCGGATCTAACGATTTCGAGCGCAATGGATACCTCTCCATCATGCACTGCCCATCCGCAAGAAAGACAAAGAAGGATCCAACCGGCATTTCATGCATCTTACCAATGTGCACACACATCGACCAGACAGAACACGATCTCGATGTCATTGTCACAGAACAAGGCCTCGCCGACCTCCGTGGACTCGCTCCAGTCGAACGCGCAAGACTTATGATCGAAAAGGCCGCTCACCCATCATACAAGGATCAGCTCAGAGAATACCTCAACATGGCAATCAAGGAAACACAGTCAAAGGGTGCTGGCCATGAGCCACAGATTCTCGAGAAGGTCTTCAAGATGCACGAGAACTTGGCTACCAAGGGAACAATGCATCTCGACAGCTGGTAAGCATTCTAAAAATTCTAGTCTACTTTTATTTATTTTGAAAACAAACTATTTTTATTAGATTTTTAAAAATTATTTTTTGAATATTCATCAAATAATTTTATTTTTATGAATGATTTATATAATATGTCAATAATGTTTTCATTTGGCAATGATTATGTTTCGAAATTTTTCTAAATTTTTTTCAAAATTCAAATTTTTAAAGAAAAAATTAAGATTTTTCTTTTCAACAAATTATTTTTCCAATATTTTTGGAATTAAACATGTGACTTATTTTGAGGATTTGATTACGTTTACCGTTAATTAACATAAATCCATCACTTATGCATGATGATTTTCGTTTATCGTTGATTTGATGTTTATTTTCCACAGAAACAAATAATTATCTTATCGAGAAAAATTAAAAAATTCAGTTGACAATGGAAGCAAACTAACCAGATTAAAAAATATAAATAAACCAAATATTCAATAATAATTTATTCATTTATGAGTGCAATGAATCTGAAACAAACACAAGATATAGTTAAAGGTCAATAACTCGAAGATAAACAAGAGTAATAATTAACGTTAAATAACGCGGAAAATATAAATCAAAATTAGTTAGTTTTTGGAACTTTCGATAAGCATTTGGAAGGAGTAAGCATTTCGCTCAGCATACCTACAAGGCCTACTTGGAGAAAATTTTGATGAAGTAGCCAAACGAAATGTTGTATCATGGTTTGTTGAGGAATAGTTCTGATACTGATGAGTCTTCAGATGATCTTCCATATGAGCAGCGCTTACAGGTTTTCCACATTCTGGGCAATTCATAATTCGAACGATAGTTTCGCCAGGCGCATATCCAAAGAAAGGCTGTTCCCCAGACTCATGCGGAACGTTATTAATACCAGTGATCGGATTAACTAAACGTGGGACGTGTAAGGGTTCACAATTAGTCATTATCAAAAGTGTCAAAATTTGAAATAAATTACCGATCCTGAGTGAACCTCATTTTAGAAGTAATTCTTCTTAATTAAGATCATCTAAAGAATATTTTTATTTTCTAATTAGAATTAAGGGTGCACACGAGAGGATCATGTAAACTTCAGAATTTAGAACCTTATTTTTAGGCATTATCTTGGCTACCTATTTAGGCTCGAAAAGCAAAAAATATCAAAAAATACAACTTGACTCCATTATGACCCTTTCATGGAGGTAGTTTTTATCCGCTAGTATTTTCCCTTTGAATCTCTTTACAATTCGAAATCAAATTCAAATCTCAGTAGAAGAAAGGAAGAATCGACTTACTACGGTTGTAATACGAATAAATACATATATTTAATTATTTTTATTTACATAATAATTGTTTGAAGCTCATATTCCAACAAATTTTTAAATAAAAACATTAAAATGTTGAAAATGTTCATATATTTTAATAGGGTTTTGGCACTTTATTGAGGAATTACTACATACATAGTCGAACTGAACTTGATATTTTGAAATTTAAATTATTTATCAAAATTAAAATTTAACTTGAAATTTATAATTATTTAGTCATATTTTGCATAATTCTAAGTAGATTTTGTAAAAAATCAAGAAAGAAAAATTTTAACGTGCTTTATTTTTTCTTTTTTATAATAATACATATTATTATATAATTAACATATTCATAATGTTTCACCCTTTCAAAAATATAATCCTCCTCCTCTCAAATAAACGTACATACGGGTGGCCTCTTTTTTCAAAAAATTAAAATTTGAAATTTTGGGCTCAAATATTAGAGATTTTTTCAACCTTCAACGATATATGTTGTCTATATCAGACCTCCTTTCTTTTTGATACTTAACATTGTTCCTAAATCTTAGCCGTTAAGGCTGTTCTGAAAATATTTTTTTTTCGAAAAAATTCGAAAAAAATTTCTTAAAATTCAAAAATCCCTTAATTCCTGAGGATTTTGGAAAAAAGATTTTACATGAACATGTGTATATTATATGAAGTATATTGATAAGGTAAAAATCAAATTTTATTGCATATTCATCGAGAAAATAAACTAACGAATCCCTCAAAATTGAGAGGGTAATCCTCCTCCTCTCAAATAAACGTACATACGGGTGCACCCTTAATAAAAATTTATTTTGTAAACTGTTATTTCGGTTTTGTGAGTAAGAGCCAGAAAAGAAAACTTCATTCGTTGTGGCTGTAAATTGCTAGAAAAGGATCCTCCTATCTTGTCGTAAAATCTTAGTTGAATACCGAGGACTTGTTGAATTTGAAAAAAATCAATGGATTTCGATAGATTCTGAACACATTGAAAAAATTGAATGACGTTGAAATCAAAAATATCGAGTTTCTTTTTTACAATACCTATATAATATTATTTTATTGGGATATCACTAAAATGATGGCGTTATCAAAATAAATTTGTTATAGACCGAAAATAGATTTTTTCGGTTTTCTCTTCAAATAATTGAAAGAATGATACTATTATAGGTTTATTATATTATATAGCATATAATCATGCTATAGCCGAAAATTATAAGTTTTGAGAAGATTGAATATAACACAAATAAATTTGAATGTAAGTTAAATTGCTTGTTGTTTTTAATAGCCATTTAATGAGAAATCCAATATTGCAAAATTCAAATTGAATGATTGAAAGAACAGAAAAAGTCATTCTTTTCAATTTCGAATATGTTTCATTGTATTTATAATTATATGGCAAAGAAGATATTTAAACTTGATTTTTGAAGGAAAATTCACAAAATTGAATAAATTCAAATAATTTTTATTCAAAAATAAACTAGTTATTTGAGTTTACTACTAATTATCTATTCAAACTACAAAGTTTGTAATTTAAAATATTTTGTGAGATCAGATTGAATTAATTCAAGGTTCTTTTCAATTAATATTAATGACCATATTACGCATTTTCGAACATTCTAAACCAAATATATAAAAATGGGAGACAAATGTTAAATTTGCTAGACATGGGGGAGTTCTCTACAAAGTTTTAGCTCTTATCTCTAACAAAAAATTAATTTTTAAAAAAATGACCGAATACGTTTCACAGCGAGAAAAAAATAAAAGGCAAGATAGAATTTTCTAGACATAAAGAAGTTGTTTACCGAGTTTTAGCTCTTATCTCTAACAAAAAATTAATTTTTAAAAAAATGACCGAATACGTTTCACAGCGAGAAAAAAATAAAAGGCAAGATAGAATTTTCTAGACATAAAGAAGTTGTTTACCGAGTTTTAGCTCTTATCTCTAACAAAAATTAATTTTAAAAAAATGACCGAATACGTTTCACAGCGAGAAAAAAATAAAAGGCAAGATAGAATTTTCTAGACATAAAGAAGTTGTCTACCAAGTGTCAGCTGTTACTTCTTCTCAATACTGATATAAAATAAAAATCTTTATTATTTATTTAACCTTTATTGTTTCATTAAACTTCATTTATTTTATATTATAGTTTTATTCTTTTAGCTACTTGTAAAATAATCTAATTTTATATCATCATTTTACCGGATTATTCTTCAGTACATCGATTGTGTATCTAAAATAATATCATTATCCTTATTCTGTTTTTTCCAAAATTCTTTTAAATATCTTTTTTGGTTAGATTACTTTATCCTTTTTACTTTTATTTTTTAATTTCAAAAAAAAAAAAATTTGGTGATTGTTCTATTCTGTTACAATGTGCATTATCATATTCTAATGAATTATTCATTACATACAAAAAAAAAAAAAAAAAAAAAAAAGGTAGTGGGGCCTCCAGGCACTTCGTGCCCTCTAGCCCTGAAGATGTTTTTCCCAAGACCCAAGAGGAGGACCGAACCCCAGCCGACCAGCCGTTGACTTTTTTGTTTCACTTTTCACAAATTATATATGTTTTCATGTTTTGTCACTTTTCTGTCACTTTTCAGGGAAAAAACATTTTTATTATTATATATAAATGAATTTTACAAAACCACCGTTACCCTTCTTTGGAAATAAGAGTAGATGTAAAGATATTCTATTGAGAGAACTTAAGAAACTACCGAATGGTCTAACATTTGTAGATTTGTTCGGTGGAAGTTTCTATATATCCCATTTGTGCCATACAATATTCCCAGACTCAAAGATTATATGCAATGACTTCGACAACTATATGGACCGTCTCAAACATATACCAGACACAAACAATATATTGAAAGAGTTAAAAGAAAAGATACCTATAGGTAAGATGGAACGTATACCATTAGATAAGAAAAATATTGTGAGAGAGGTTTTGAAAAAAGCAGAATATATAGACTGGGATAGTATATCTGCTAGACTATTATATAGTGGTTCTATAAGAGTTCATGACATTGAAACACTTATGTCAAACGTTTTATATCTTAACTATACAAATGTTTTCAAAGAGGACATAGAAAAATATATTGAGGGTATAGAGTTTGTGAGATGTCATTGGACAGAGTTGTATGAAAAATATAAAGACAAGGAAAATGTTTTCTTTATAGTGGACCCGCCGTTCTATAACACATGCGATTTTCAATACCAAGTAGACTGGACTTTGAGAGACTCTTTAGAAACTTTAGACGTTATACATAACCATCCATGCTTTTACTTTACATCCGATAAAAGTGGTTTGGAAACCGTTATGAGATGGTTAGAGGACATACATGACTATGAGTTTAGATATGACAAGATAGAATATGAGAGAGGTCCTATAAACCGGAGAAAGTGTCATAACAAAGAAATTTTACTAGTAAGTAAATGTGGTTTGAAATAGGACTACTTGTTTTAGGTTTTTTCCATTGTGTCATTTATTTATTTGACGTGGCAGAAAGATATAGAGAATATGAAGATGAACCAATGCCTGCAAATGTCCAGTATATGTACTCGTAAGAGATATTTTTATCTAATATTAAATGGACGCACAGAACTTAGCGAATGCACAGCAACCTGGACAACCAAACCCAGAGAATATTCCAAATGAAGTTAGAATACAAACTGCAATGGCAAACTATGGTCAAGTGCCAACAGATGTACAAATGCAAACTGCCATGTCAAATGACGCTGCGTTAGGTTTGCCACCATGGTATGCAAATATGAGATGGAAAGAGTTTTATACAAACCCCGAAGTGGGATATAAACAACTTTATGCAGATGACGCGAACACAGGAGTTGACCCAGAATATGTTTTCTACCAGAGGAGAAACAGAATGTATGAGCTCCAGTTAAAAAATGCTATGGAACTCAGAAGGAAACGTAAGAGACTAGGCGGACATTAGATTTTTACATATAGTAAATGGGTTTCTTCAGTAGTATTGGAAACTTCTTTCGAAATGTTGGAAGAGGTATATGGAATGGAATAAAATCTGTCGGAAGAGGAGTATGGAACGGAGTCAAAAATATTGGTAAAGAGTAGGTCAGTTCGTTGGTATTATACCTAAAGACCTGAACCAGAAGAACAAGCTCCTGTTATACAACAGCCTGAACCTGCACCACAGTCTAGTTGGCAACCAAATCCAACACCTCAACCGTATTAAAAAATTATATTTTTACCGTTCGATAGTAGTTGTATATGAAACTAAGTTCTAAGTAAAACGCATGTATAATGGAACTATTCTCTTTCTTCCATCTGTTGTAAACCATACTTGAAAGTCTGAAATACTTCCACTCGGCGGTTCATATAACTTTGTAGGTTTTCGTAAAAGTCATTTGCCAAGCATAAAAAAGAGTTTTGTGCACCAGAAAATGAAGCATGAACTATAATAGCATCTGAGTCGAAAACATTTTCATATGTTCCATTAGGGTTTTCGACTTCATAAAAGTCCGGGTGTACTGGATATTCTGCAGGCTGATTTAACATCCTCATAAATCTATACCATGCCAAGTTGTTATATTTTGTAGAAATATAAACGTTTTCTCCAAGGTCTTCTATTCTATTGATTTTAACAGTTGCATTTTTCCTGTC